CATTATTTGTAATTTCATTTATAATTTCATTTCACCACTGTACATATTTTTTTGCCGAGAAAACCAAATCAACAAGCGGTTTTGCCAGAAAATTTTTCCTTAGATCGCAATTGCTAAGGGTATTACAGTAAGTGACTGCAGACGAATTAGAGTGGTTTTTCAAACTCACATATAAAGTGCAAAATGGCTCGCTCCGCACAGGATTTGAACCACCGATCTTTCGCCTTCAATGTCGACCACTCACCATTACACTAGTGCACCACCGACGCATTAAAGGCAGTGTCTCACCAAAGTTGAGTTGGTGCGGATCTTTACATATTCTATCATAGGGACCTCTGGATATACCACTGCAACAAGTCCCACTCAATTTGACCCCCTCCACGCTAAGAAAAATTCGCTCAAAATGGTACGCGGAGAGCCAGTTGGTACGCGCGGACGACTCCTTTGGTCTCCCCCCTTACGCGTTTGAACATGTCCCTCCACTTGACATCCCCCTCCCCTCTGTTGCTGCCACTGTGGCTGAGCCTGAAGTTGGAAGGTACAACTCGTCCACGTTGCTTCCACGGGGCCTCCAGAAAACGGGGTTTTTGGGAACTTCATGCGATTTTAAGCCCATACAGTGCTAAACAGGGTCCGACAGGCATGCAAAATGCAAAAATCTCGACAACCAAATTTTGGTGAGACACTGCCTTTAACAGCCCTCTCGGATTCAAAGAGCGCCCCCAAAGTAGGATTTTCAGGCTTCCCTAACTCCCTCCAAAAGGGCGCTCCTCACGAACGAAAAGCAGATTTGAAATCAGCGTTCGGAGCTGTTTCAGATGATATGCATCTCATATCAAAAGGCCACGGCCATTGATACTATTACCTCCCTTGTAAGAATAAAAGCTTATCCCATTAGCCAATTATTTTTCTTATGTCATGTATAAGCACAAGCGTTGAAGTTCGTTTTAATTTCAGTGTCAGAAGGAAGCGATGGATCAAAGCAAAACTATTGAGAGATGAGCTTCTGAATAAGGGGGGGGGGAAGGGTTGCTGTGTTAACCGCGCAGGAAGGCAAAGAAGCATAGCAGTAAGTGATGAGATGAAAAAGTGCCCGAACAAAGCAGAAGAAAGGAGGTTCTTGGTACGCCAATACAGAATCTGTACTATTCCCAGAAAACAATGAACCAAGCGAGACCGCGGATGAGAGCTAGTTGGATATAATGACAACTTTGTCCAATGTGCGGCTTTTGCAGGCAGCTCCCAGAAAATCTGGTGTACGCTTCAAGGAGTATGCATATCTTATCGGATTTACGGCTTGCTTCTAACACTGATATTCACAACAAATGGAGCGATAAATAGCGAAAATATTTATTTTCGATCATGAATGAAATCGAAAAAATGCCTATCAGATCTTTGATGATGAGATCTCTTTTGTTTTTTTCATCAGGTGTTTCGAGGAACTCCTCCACGTATTTGTTCACTTTTTTTGGCTCATCTTGCATAACCCAGTGCGAAGCGCCTCTGGTGAATTTCAGTTGACCGTTTTGACAGAACTAAAAAAAAGAAACTGCAATAAAAAATCCAAATTTTACTTAGTTGCTCCTAAGCGCAGAAAATCTTGGCACACAATTAAAAGTAAAATTACCTCTGGGCTTAATGTAGCTCCTTCTTTGACCAAGAACTGGTCTTAATCTCTAAATAATGAGCGTTGGTGGCTAAAGATGGAAAATCAAATTGTATATAAACGAAAGCTGCACCTTGCAGATGTCTTGTCCGGATTTCACTGAGCTTTTGCCAAATTACGGTTATGATTTACGGGTCCAGTAAAAGCATTCTGATCAACTTACGACAAATGGATGGTTTTTGAAGGTTCAAACATTCCTTCAGTATGATTCTACCTACCTAACTGACAAAAGACGTGTTTGTAGGCTTCCAGATCTTTATCAATAAAATTTTTTTGCTGTGGATACCCCCTTTACCGCGGAAACCATCATCAAAAACGTAAAGGTCATGACTTTGTAGAACTATTTCGGGAAGAAGTGTAGGCGTTTAAACATGAATATATACCTAAGAGCTTGAGATCCAAGAATACTAGTTCGAAATCACATTCATCGCGCTAGTTCCCATGTCTCTTAAAAGGAAATTTCTTTTAAATCAGAAATAATTGGACAAAAAGTCCAATGTATTGATGCTTTTTCGAAGGTCTGATTTGGAAAAAAATTGAATCTCATAATGAGCAATTTCTTCCAATATCTGAAAGTATGACATCTAAGAACATTAATTCGAAATCCATCTATCACGCTAGTTTCTCATGTCATTTTAGAGAAAAATTTTTTCTCATTAGAAATGATTGGACGAAAAACCCGATGTACTTATGCTTTTTCGAAGCTCTAATTCGAAAAAAACTGTATCTCATAATGAGCATGAATTGAATCTTCCCAACTCTTAAGCCTCTGCTCAGAATTAGCCGCTACGATTCGGGTAAATGCGCTTGGATTCGGCAAATTGAGGATGATCAGTTTATCGACAAATCGAGATAGACCATAGCAAACTGAAAACATGAGCAATGCAACTAATAGAAGAAACATGAAAAAATAACTATTGTGCTATTCAGTTTTATTGTGCCGTAACAGGTTGGTATAGATGATATACTATTTATAGCCTGGCGTTTCGGCTTTACGCCGTCTTCAGAGGCTGAAAAGGCATCAGTCACCTTGATGTACGTACTTGGCTGCCAAGTACCTACATAAAGTATTAGGAGTATTACAAGGTAGTGAAATTTCTTTTATTCATTATCATCACTTTTGGAATGAGTTTTTGATAATGCTTCAAAGTCTAGAAAGAGACTTTGAAGACTTTAAAGACAAGAGGACCTACAGTATAACTATTGTGCTATTGGCGATAACTTCACAACTACACTCACGAGAATGTTGCTGCAAATGCAATGAGCTGAAGCAAGTGCTCATCACCAATTACCTCTGCATATTGTTTCAGCTTTTTGTATTTGTTACTTACTAATGATGAAGGTTTGATTACCCAAGTTTGAGGTAATCGCCAAGGAGACCGCGTGGCACCACAAGTCAAACTCTGTGCAAACGCAAACCCACAACTGTACAATCCAATTCAATTTTCTGCCACTATTGTGAGTTTACACCTTCTAAGCAACAGCTGCTCCCCAATCATGTTCCATCAAAAAATTTTTTTTTGTAACCTGTAATAATGTTGTTGAAATTATTTACTAAGTCACACGGAGTATTACAAGGTAGTGAAATTTTATTCATTATTATCACTTTTGGAATGAGTTTTTGATAATGCTTCAAAGTCCAGAAAATGAAGAGATGGACTAAGAGACGATATTTTGAAAAATTTTAATTTCTAAATCAGTGGAGCTGATTGCAGGTTTTTATCTGCAATCAGCCCCAGTAATTCTAAGGATCTGGTTCGCTTTGTAGAGAAAATTTTTCATAGAGCGAAATTTACGCCACAAACCCTTTACAAGACATTCAACAATAAGCAACCGATGGGCGCAAGGAAGCCAACTCTTTCCTTTAGAAAAAGTTAAAAATTCCATAGTTCTAGTTAATTTAAAGAGGTGGGATTATAAAAACTGCAAGACGACATTGCTCAATTTTTTGTTTTCCGGTATATTATCACAAATGCATATTTAGGCAAAACTTCAGTTGAAAAAATTTAAAAATAAAGCTCCTACCCAGCCTTTCCACTACTCAACGGACATCATCAACAAGGTAATCGATGTTATAGTCTTCATATTCTTGTGTTATTTGAAAGATTGTAGCCACGCTGAACCAGCGCAGTGCATCGGAAGGGGATTTTTCTAATTATATTCGGTCAATACCTTGAATATCAAAATATTTATCAGCAAAGTGATTTAGTTGATATCAACATCGAAAGGAGCGGTCTTTCATCACCTCCTGTTTGAGCGTAGTGAAGGCGAACGTTCTGAAACACAAAGCTAAATGGTATAGAATTTTAGAAATCTATAATTTTTACCTTTGTCTGAAGAATTCGCTCATCCCTCGAGACATTTCAATGGGTGTTCCTTAACTTCGAAGCAACTTTTGCCATAACTATGCGTAAAGCCAAAATCTACTATTCAAAAAATTGAACTTTCCTACAAAAAGAATCTCTTTTACCGTGCTCAACACCTTTTCAGGTTTTCGAAACTAAAACCCAGAAACCAAATTTTTTCTATGAAGCCAAACCTTACAATTGTTTTTTCTTTCTTTTTTCTTCGGCGCAAAACAGCTTGCAAAAAGTACAAAAGTTTTCGCGGGCACCAAGCCAACGAATATGATTTCAAATGAAGTAAGCTGTTAGTTCATGTATGTGTATTTCTTCAATATTCGCGACAACCCCATCGCAACGTATCAAAACTTTTGAACATATTCTAATTCGTCTTTCAAGCTATGTCGCTCCTACGTACCATGTTGTTTTATCCTCATCCCAGGCATTACCATACTCGTCTCTTCAGCTCGGATAGAGTCCAGCCATCCACGCTTATTGATACATCATCATCGCTTCATCCGCCTCAGCCTTACCCGCACACCGGTCTGACAATTCAATTCCAAGCTTTTTTGCTCCGTTCAATCTTCAGCTCGAGACGAGCTTTTCTTTTGACCTGGCGTGCGAAAGCCGCGCCTTTTCCATGAGCCCTTTCCCCCTGTTCATATGCATTCGAAGAGCAATCAAGCGACTGAGCAATGATGCAATCAACAACACTTTTCCTCCCCACAAATACAACGAATGGTAAATGGGCAATCTTAATGACGATAATGGTAGCAGCAGCAATCTCCTGCACTCAAATAAGCAGTGGTGAAACAAATGTTAAATGGGCAGCGTTGATGACGATTTCCTAATCCGCAGCAATGGTTTAAGCTGAAAGCTCGGGACGAGCTTAAAGATTGGACATGTCGAGACGCAGACTATGAGATGGTCCGACAGTCCTCACCCCAATTGGACGGTGCCCAATAACTTCAGATGAGCTGTGCCTAATGATCAGCGGTTTCCCTTCCCCTTTCTTTATTTTATAATTACATAATAAAGATTCTGGTCATTAATGTTTGTTCATATAAAGCAGGACAACCAGGGTGAAGGATTCAAGTCAGGAGGCACTTCTTGGACTTGCCAGAGCCACTGAGGAACTCTTCCACGTATCGATTGACTTTTTCTGGCTCATCTTGCATGACCCAATGCGATGTGCCTTTGAGGAATATTAAGTGACCATTTTCGCAGAACTAAAGAAAAACTAATGCTCATAATAAATGTATAATAGGGGGGACTGTCAAAACTACCTTCAAGCTGTTTGTTGCGCCTTCTTTGACTAAAAATGCATCCTGGTCACCCCAAACGATAAGTGTTGGTGGCTTAAGATGAGAGAATGCGGTTTTTTACGATATTTTGAAGTTTTTCTACCTTGCAGATTCTCTGTCCCGGCTGTAACACACGTTTTGTAATGTTACGATAGTAGTTGATTGGTCCGGTAAGGGCGCCTGAATATATACAAAAATCCGTAATGATCAAAAATTTCTGTGAATGAAATCAGATTTTACCTTCCTGGCTGAACACATGCTTGAAAGCTTCCAAATCTTCATCTGTAAAATTTTCTTTATTTCGAATTCCTGCGTGTCTGGCGCGAAAATATAAATCGAACATGTGTAGATCGCGACTTCGTACAGCCATCTCTGGCAGCATAGGTGTTTGGAAAAAGAAAACATACCTAAAAATAATTTTTCTAGTTTTGCATTTACCATCTCAAAATGAGCACCACTCCTCAAGTCCAACAACTTTCAGTGCAAATAATCAAGAGTTTTTCTACAAACACACAAGAATTCTGGACATTCTTACCAATTCTTCCGGGCTTTTTTATTCTCCGCCTCTCCCTCCCCCTTCTCCCACCCCACCCTCGAAATCCACTAATTATACAAGTGAAGTTTAAAGGAGTGACTGAAGCGATAGAGCAAAATGAGGTCTCAAATTTTTCTGAATGCAGGGCTAATTTGCAAAAATACTCACCAACTCTTTCGCATTTGCTCGAAATTAGTCGCTGGGAAGGCCAGTGGATGAGGAACATTGAGAATGACAAGCTTCTCAACAAGCTCAGGGTAGACCAATGCGAACTAAAAAAATTTAAGACCGGCATTAAAAGGCTATGATCTTTATTTTTTTAATGGATTGGGATCAATAACGCTTACCTGCCATGCAACTATTGCTCCCCAATCATGTCCCATTAGAAAGCATTTCTTGTAACCTGAAAATCTCTATATATGTAAAGCAGAAAATTTGTGTGTTTGTGCACATTACCCGTAGTGCAGGGTGTGCAAGGTGTGCAGAGTGTCCAGGTTGTGCAGGGTGGGGAGGTTAGACTGATAGATTGGCTCCAAACCGGGGTGAAACCCGGGATGTCAGCTCGTAACTATATAAGAAGAAAAATGATAGCTGCGTCTGTGCAAAAGAAAGAAAAAAAGTCAGGGAAATAGAAGAAATTTTTCTCAACCGAAAATTCCGAGACGATAAACATCATTTCATTGATGTGACCCTCTTACCTAGCCCTTCTACAACTTCTCGAATATCATCGATGAGATAATCTATGTGATAGTCTTCGGTATGGATTGGTTTGCCAGAGAGATTGTAACCTCGTTGGTCTAGCGCTATGCATCTAAAACATTTTATATCTCTGAGAGTACGTTTTGAAAAATTTGCAAGTACCGATATTTGTCAGCAAAATGCTTGAGTTGATATCTCCATGAGTACCAAAATTCGGGAAAACCGTGTAACATCAGGAGCAATGGTTTATCGTCACCACCCGTTTGAACATAGTGAAGACGGACTGTCTAGAACCAGAGGTAATGGTATGTAAAAAGTGATTTATTTGTTCATCTATTTATCTAACTCAAGGTGTTAGAGAAAACTATCATAAATTAACCAATCAGTAGCTGAAATTCATTCAGTCAACTATTGATTTCACTCAAGCTGCTAGTAAAACTCAAAATTCATTGCAGCTTGGCCAATAAATACAGAAAATGTCCACAACATACTCAAATGATGATCTAATTTAATATATTTGTGTACCAGAATATGTTTTACTGACCTTTGTCTGGATATATCGTTCATCCCAGTCTTCAAGACATTTTGGCTTCGGATGATTCTTGACTTCAAAACCATCACTGCCATAAGTTATGCGATCCTTTATCAGACTTATAACGGTCACTATAGTCCACAGCACTTGCTGTAACCGAAAAATGATCGCTTGTACTATTTCCTTCATACCTGAAATTTTGACTGCAATTCTTGAAATAAATTATTTTACGAGTCTAATAGGATTGAGACATTGAGACAAAATGACGAAGAATTGCTGGATACATGAAAATAATTGTGGCTGTCAAGCGCAATCTTTCCATTATAAGGAAAGGTTGCTTTACGAAACACAATTCGTGTCAAGGGGTCGAAGAGAGGCTGGTATTAATATGGATTTTTGGACGAATGACCTCTCAAAGTCTCCCATAACAAGTCAAATTTACCAGATTATCGTAACGGATCCATTTTTCGTTAGGAACAACAATTTGCGTGAAAAAAACTAAAAAAAAAGTCAAAAGTGTGCTTGAATTGAATGGTGAAAATGAATAGCAACTATCACTTGTGAGGTTTGATCATTTATCAACGATTAATTGGTTACGGAACGAATGAAGTATGGAAGCTTGGTTCAATAGGTTCTAATCTCATAAGAGAAAAAAATCTAGTGAATAAAAAAGAAAAAGAAAAAGAAAAAGAAAAAATCTACTAATAACTGATTTTCATAAAGCTTCCGTTTTGAGGGAACTTCCCGAGAGCTTATTTGCAAGACTTCTCGAGGGTTTTACGGGGACTTTCTGAGGTGCAGAAAGTTCCCCCAGAGCCCTTGGAAAGTTCTCATGAATTGACTGATCGCGAGATATCATTGGTTATGCGCAAGTCAAAAATGATGTTTATGCTCTCTATTTTGTCTGTTTGTAACAAACGAGAATTAATATTTCCAAAAGAGTCAGTTTTCAAGATGTAAGTTAAAACGTCGTTTTTGACACAGCTTTGTTCTTTACTCATAATTCTCATAGCCTTGAAGGAGTCTAAAGTAATGGAAAGATTATAGAGAGCTTAACACTTTTGATTGAACATCCTCATGAAGTTACGGAAATCGGGAGCTGGAGAGAAAGGGAGGGTAGAAAAGTAAAAGACACGGTTACTACTTTGTTGTCCACCTTATCAATACGGCGGCACTCACCAAGTCGTCCCGTGCACTGTCAATAGAACAAAGAACAAATTTGGGTTCAGCATCGTTGACTGCGAAGAGTGTCAAGGCATTTGGCAATTTACTATCTTTTTTTGGCTACCTTTTTAGAATGTGAGTGGTATCGTTCAATTCCCAAAATTCATGCAAGGGCGAAGACGTGAAGGCGTATCCAGTGCCGTATCCGGTGTTAAAAATGGTTGATAATTTGATTATTGTTTGGTAGCATGGTCGCTTTAGTTCGAATTTGAGAGCACACCTATATAGATCATTGCAAAACCTTTGACTAAACTGACTTGGCGGCTGGGAGGCGGAGCTTTGTGACCTAACTGAGGCCGCTCGCGCCTGCGACGCAGTCTGCGTCTCTCTCGCGCGTGCACTCTGATCTACCTAGCCCTAAATATGTCACGAAGCCCCGACTTCCAGCCGCCAAGCCAATTAGTCAAAGGGTTGATCGATACGCTACTCGCTTAGTTTAATGTATACATATCCCTTTGTCCAAAATCCGCCCTCTTTGCGCTTTGAGAAGGACATTAGGTCGATCCAACCGTAAGAAAACATATATGGTTGAGCCGGTTTGGAACGCCAAGCTCAAACCCGCATCCATTATCTGCTGAGCGCTTTTCTAGAAGAGGTTTTGACTATATTGCATGCCGAAAAAATTGCAATCATGTGACCGTTCGCGTACAAACGTCATACTCAATTTGCTAGCCCGAAATCAGCAGCAGATTCCTATTTTGTGTTGAAGGTGCTCAAAGCGCAGTTTGCCGTTGATGATCTTTATCCCAAATGATCGTGAGTGCGATTTCAAAATCAAAGGCAGTGTCTCACCAAAATTGGGGTAGTGTGGGTCTCCAAATATTTCGTTAGAGCCCTGAAAAGACGACTGCCCAAGTCCCATTCAATCCGGGCGCTTCTACGCCGAGAAATCTGCTCTCAAAGTGGCCGGCAAAGCGCGATTTGGCCCGCACGGCCAACGCTCCCGGTTTCCTCCCTTCGCGTTCCAACATGTTCCTCCGCCTGACGTCCACCTCCATAGTGTTGTTACCGCTCTGGCGAGGACTAGACTGAAAAAGGAACCACTTGTCCGCGTGATTTCCACGGTTTCAAAAAACGGGGTTTCATGTTATGCGATTTCGGGCCCGCACTGGGTCAAACAGGGCCGAAAAGGTTTGCAATATGCAAAAATCTCGACGACCTAATCTTGACAGATAGTGCCTTGAACGTGCTGAACCGATAGGAACATATGTGTCTTGTCTATCTCCTCTCCATGAATATATGATAGATTGTGCATTGCAAGTGTCTATCTACTCCATAATCTCGGCCGTGATTTATGTCGTCTTAACTGTGTTCCAGGACAACGCAATATGTTGTTTCACATATTCACTATAGAAGAACGGATGGAATACACAGTTTTATGTGTGTAATGAAGGAGACTGTTCTGAAGAAGTCAGGGGAAAATATCTCATATGCAAGTGATTAAGCTTATTGTCCGAGCCTTTGAGGCTGCATGGAAATCCTACAGAAATATGTAGAGCACACTTCATTATCGCCGGAGTGCAAGCCGTTATCGCCAGTCTCTACATATACGACACAACCAACCTCTACTCAAGCGGGAAGATGCCCGTGATATCTCTGCCCTGCCTCAACGACAGTTCAACGACAATGTGGCGTCCTTGCCTTCACTAAAAAAACAGGTGAAGACTCCTGGGCGGGTGCAACATCTGTAGTGAGCCCCAGCTACTTGCTCTTACAGGGAGGCAGAGCCTCTCACCAAGCGTCCGCACGGGCACTGAAGGCACATTCTGCCAAAAGTTGTCTTGCAACCCTATGGGTTGAGCCAGACTTCGCGGGGAAGCGGCGTAAGCGGCGTACGCAGCGTACGCTCGGTATATTTCATCATAGGAGCATACGCGGCGTAGGCTGCGTACGTCGCGTACGCCGCGCAGTCTGGCCCAACCCTATCGCACAGCCTCGATTTTCCTAATCCCTCATCACCTTGTGCCCAACTCCTCTCAATCCACCACCTTTCACCGTCAGCGCTTTCTCAATAGCCACCACATGATCGAATCTGTAGTCAGAATGGATTTGAAGTAAGGTAAACGTACACATGTTTTATGTACATATTCTTTGCTGTATACCACCTCTTTGTAATTCTTTCTTGTCGATTAGATACATTTGATAACAAATAAAAATTGGACAAAACTTGCCATACGTGCAACAACCTGAATATGAAGTTGAAGTCATAGTCGCAAACACACAGGTTGAATTCTTCGCGAAACAAAACGTCCTCGAGGAAGATCGCCAGCGAGATGGGCGGGCAGATGTTTTCGTGGAACGCATGGACCAGCTGTGAAATCACCTGGACAAGCTTCCACCTTAACCGTGGACGCAGCCACTACGACAACGATGAAGATCGTGAATGTCTGAAGCGATGACAGGAACTTCCGTGCTAAAGCTCGCACGCCCCTTGAAGATGGGCCATCTAAGTATTCAAGTAATGACGAACCGATCTTGAGTATGAGCACCATTGTCAGGAGTTTTAGGCATCTCAAGGCACGGATGCAGAAACCAGCATAGAGTGTGATGCAACGAATGTATGGCGAACAAACATCAGGGAATAGAATAATTTATTGTTCTTATGCATAATAATGTGTTTGGTGTAGATTAACCTATGTCTCAATCTACAGACAAATTGGAAGCTATAGGGCGAGCTTTTCCGAATGAAAGAGAAGATTATGATACCGCCTGCGCATTGATGCGCTTAATCCTTGCAAAACTTTGTAAGAACGAACGCAGTATTCATAAGGACATTTACCGTTAGCAATGTGTACAAAAGGCCTCAAAGCTGAAGTTGTTAAAAATGATGAAATTTCACCGAAGCATCTCAATACGTGTTTCTGATGCTTCTGCATCTTTAATAGTATAAAGCATCGACATATATTCGCTGATAAAAGAAAGTATAAAGGGGCGAAACTAGAATTTTACTTCGCTTAGATTTCGAGGTCAGCGCAAAATGTCAGTATAAATTCTAGTTATCATCGAGCTATAAAATTCTCAAAAGTATTGATGGGAGCAAGGATGTATTCCAGATAACACTTATTCGAATATGAGGTTGCAATCAATTGCCAGGTCACTCGTCGTTCGTGTTAGTGTGTAGCCAATTCGTCTCCATTTGTCTTTATGCTCTCTTGCTATTTGTTCAATTCAAATCCTGTAGGTTGTCCCTTTTGCTAGATTTGAGGCTTCCATGGGAACTACTGAAGAGGGGCACCAAGGAAGCTGCACTGTTGGAATAGTTCTTAGCCTTAAAACCGGATAGTGTTGAAATCGAAAACAAAAGATTGTTGTGAAGATCTTGATGTCCTTCTTGATTTATAAGCGAAATACATTTGTTTTTAAAAGCCGGCGTTCATCAAGGATCTGTGCTGTCACCTCTCCTTTTCATCACAGTTGTAGACACAATAGTCAGAAACTTCATACGTCAACCTCCATGGGCCGTGATGTATGCAGATGACGTGATTCTGATGGCGAGAAGCAGGGATGAATTGGAGGCGGATGCGCAGAAGTGGAAATCTGAACTCGAGCTGCACGGCTGCAGAACAATGTCGCGAAGACCGAGTACATGGAGCTAGGAGCTCAAACGCCTGGAACCATACAGATTGAAGACGCTCCAATCAAGAAGACTACTACCTTCAAGTACCTAGGAAGCCGCATCTGCGCAGATGGTACGATCCAAGAAGAGATAGCTGCCAGGATAAACGCAGCTTGGTTGAAGTGGAAGAGTCTCACAGGAGTCATGTGCAATGCCACGCAAGCTAAAGTCCCAGTTGTACCGTAGTGTGATCCGCCCGACAGCTCTATATGGCAGCGAATGTTGGCCGTGTACGCGAAGCGACGAACGTAAAATCAGCATGATAGAAACACGCATGCTACGATGGACGGCAGGCGTCACCATGATCGACCACGTTACCAACGATACCATACGCGCAACGATGAAGGTTTCCCCAGTAGCTAAGAAGATGCAGGAGAGAAGACTTCGATGGTACGGTCACGTGCAAAGAAGGGAAAAAAGCCATATCTCCAGTTCAGCCACAACAGAAGAAGTACCAGGAAAGAATCCAAGAGGAAGGCCAAAGCTGAGATGGTCGGATAAGATCAAAGCGGATCTGAAAGAACTAAAGATCGAAGAAGAGCAAGCCTTAGACCGCGAACTATGGAAGAGACTTACAAGAGTGGCAGACCCCGAGTAACCCGGAAGACGCATGGATAAAGAAACTCACATTTTTCAATATAGATAACATAAATAGATTAGATACATGTAAAACGCATTGTAAATGTTATGACATTATAGACAGTAATGCATACAGACAATCTTCGATTGCTGGTTTCAAGATTAGCACCTATGGTAGCGTACCCTCGAAGTACGAGTGAAAAAATGCAATTTATTTTCTCACCTGTGGCGAGTGCAAAAAAACAGTATGGGTATACCAGGGAGCTCAAGAAGAGAATACAAAAACGCTTTTATCTATCTTGAAAAAAATTATGTAGACAATTATCTTTAAACTTTATATTTCAAAACCACAAGCCAAAAGAAGCCAAAAAGTTCTTTCAAAAACAATGTTCTTCATCGCAATCAAGTATCTAGAAGGCTCAACGGTGTCGTTGATGATAGAATAACAAGCTTTGTTCCATAAGTTTGCATATATATTATTCCTCTAGTGGTGGACAAACCTAGATTGTCCATGCACCATCTGCTCGACCCTTGATAATGCACTTGGCAACGCTTTTTTGAGGTTGGACCACTTTGTGTGGCTCAGCCTTATATTACAATGAAACACTATCACACAAGTCAGTATTCAGGCTGCCCAAGTCGGCTGTATCAGAGAGACTGAATGCTGAGTTACAAAATTGTCTATGTCGTCAAATCACAGTTCGTCATCTTCGCTGTAAATAGACCCGTTGAAGTCATAATTGATTCCTATCGAAATCGGTATGAGGACGGACATGATGCATGCTAGTGCACACTCTACATCGCGGTAGGCATAGCATTATGTAGGCGCAGCTACAATCACACGTACCACGGACGGACCTCTAGCTCCTGCAGGATGTTAGTGAACTCTTTTCTCTGCTGTCTAGAACTGCCTGTCCAGTAACAAGTTGAATTATTCGTTCGAATGCTTCGTAGATCAGTGGATATTCGTTACTTCAATAAAGTCTCACAGTGATATAGTGATATAACCCTATCATGGCCGCGGATGTTAAGACCATAACTATTAGGTTGGCTCGAAAGTTCTGGGACATTCTCGAACTAGATTTGCTATTTCTTGAAACGGTTGGCTCAAAAGTTCTGGGACATTTTCGAACTAAATCTGCTATTTCTTGAAACCTAATGCACATACATCAGACTGAGGTACCATTCGATAGAGCAAAGCAAGCTCTACAAAACAGTATGCGGAAGTTCGCAACAGCTTCAATCCACTATAAGTTTGCACCCAAAATCTGAGCTGTACTGAAGTTCAAAAAATCGCGAAAAATTCATATCTTTGTTCAAACAAATCCTACGAATCTCCAACTTGCTCACAAAAATTGCACACCACATCAGACACTCATATGCACCGTTCCTGTATTTTTTCCTCATCTGGAAATCGAGAAAACGAAAATTTTCGTACTTCTATAAAAACGAAACTGTGCTGATTTCACCCATGCAATTGAATAGTACAAGCCCTTAGAAGTATAACCGAAAATTTTCAGCTTTCTACATGCCGTAGTTCCCGGAAATAACCGGATTGAACTCTCCTCACTCAAGCGTTCCATGCTAAAATCAATTTTTTTCGACAACTAGGGCTTACGGAAAGCTGAAAATTTACGGTTGTACTTCTAAAGGCTTGTACTATTCGACTGCATGGATGAAATCAGCACAGTTTCGCTTTTATAGAAGTACGAAAATTTTCGTTTTCTCGATTTCCAGATGAGGAAAAAATACAGGAACGGTGCATATGAGTGTCTGATGTGGTGTGCAATTTTTGTGAGCAAGTTGGAGATTCGTAGGATTTGTTTGAACAAAGATACGAATTTTTCGCGATTTTTTGAACTTCAGTACAACTCAGATTTTGGGTGCAAACTTATAGTGGATTGAAGCTGGTGTAAACTTTCGCACGCCATCTTGTAGAGCTTGCTTTGCTCTGTCGAATGGTACCTCAAGCTGATGTATATGCGTTAGGTTTCAAGAAATAGCAAATCTAGTTCGAAAATGTCCCAGATCTTTCGAGCCAACCTAATATATCGGAATGAATGTAAATGACGTTAGTGTAGTGAGTGCTAATTTACAAAAAGAACCATGGTAAAACCCAAAAAACTGCGTTTTTATAGCCTTCTTTGTGTAAAAACGAGTTTTTTTGTAAATTTCCATAGATTTTAGAATAACATTTCTCAACTGACGCCTTTTTAGACTGCGACCAAGTTTCCAAAACGCACGAGAGCCATCGGAGCTTAATAAAAACGAGAAACTGTGCTCAACTCTTGTGCAGAGAGTCGCGCTAAGTGATGAGAAGAAGACGTGCCCGAATGAAGCAGAAGAAAGGAGATTTTCAGCACGCCAATACGGAACCTGCCGTATCCCAAGAAGAAGCAATGATCCGGATGGGACTGCGGATGCCAGTTAGTCGGATATAATGACAGCTTTGTCCAATGTGCGGCTCGCAAGGTAACTCCCAAGAAATCTGTTATGCGGGGCTTTCACATGGAAACTGATTGAATGAAAGTGATCAGTTCCATCGTTTTGATATACATCCCTTCAAGGAATATGTATGCCATATCGTATTCCCTGCTTACTGTTACTCACATCAATATTCACGATAAATAAAGCGATAGATATGCGCAAAATTATTTATTCCTGATCGTGAAGACGAAAATAATGCTTTAAATCTTTGATAATGAGATCTCGCTTTTGTTTTTCTCATTAGGCGTTTCGAGGAACTCCTCTACGTATTCGTTTACTTTTTCTGGCTCATCTTGCATAACCCAGTGCGAAGCGCCTTCGATGAATTTCAATTGGCCGTTTTGACAGAACTAAAAAAAAAGAAAACGTTTCAAATATCAATTTCACATTGGTTTCTTATGAAACGCAGAATATCTCAGCACACAATGAAGAGTAAAATCACCTCTAAACTTATTGTAGCTCCTTCTTTGACTAAAAACTGGTCTTGATCTCCCCAGATAATAAGCGTTGGTGGCTAAAAATAAATGATAAGAAATTCGTAAACAAAAATATAAGCTGCACCTTGCAGATGTCTTGTCCGAGTTTCGCTGCGCTTTTAAGAATATTACGGTAATAGTTCACGGGTCCAGTAAAGGCATCTGAACATCTTATGTCCGAAAAGCTCAAAATATTGGTATGATTGTGCTTACCTTTCTGACAAAATACGTGTTTGTAAGCTTCCAGATCTTCATCGGTAAAATTTTGTTTGTTCCGGATACCTCCTTTACCGCGAAAACCCTCATCGAGAACGTGAAGGTCACGACTCTGTAGAACTATCTCGGGAAGTATGGGCGTTTGGAACATGAACATATACCTGAAGTCCAAGAATACTAACTCGAAATCACTATGACGCTAATTTATCATATCTCTTTAGGCAAAACTTTTCCCATCAAATATAATCGGAGAAAAAATCCGATGTATTTCTGCTTTTTCGAACTCTGATTTGGAAAAATACTGAATCTCACAATGAGCAATTTCTTACCAACTCTTAAGCCTCTGCTCGGAATTAGCCGCTACGATTCGTGGAAATGCACTTGGATGTGGCAAATTGAGGATGATCAGTTTATCAACAAACTCGGGGTAGACTATAGCAAACTAAAAATCTATAGTCAATGTATGACTGATGATAAAAGAAAAAGCGCACCTTCCAAGCGACAGCTGCTCCCCAATCATGTCCCATCAAAAAGAATTTTTTGTAACCTGCAATTATACTATTTGGTTATACACTAACATAGGATACTTATTGCTAGATTTAGTGATAATTATTAGAACTTTTGAAATGAAATCAAAATAATTCTTTGAAGTCCTGAACTTGTCAAAATACGCTGTCTCAAAAATTATGCAAACAAATTGTTCTCATCTGCAATCAGTCCAATGATCTGATTCGCTTAATAGAAATTTTTTTCATATAATTTAATTCTCCAAATTCTTATAAAATTCAAGTACACAATATTATTCGGGGGGCGCTGCTAAGCTAAATTCTTCATTGTTGAACATTGTGGAAGTTGCGCATCAACAATCAATCACTCATTTGCGTATTTTTGACTTTCTAGTATATTATCACAAATGCATATCTAGGAGGTGGTATAAATTTCCAAAGAATTTTTTTCCAGGATATTTGAGGTCGATAGAGTTCCTACCTAGCCTTTCCACTACCTCTCGTACATCATCAACAAGGAAATCAATGTTATAGTCTTCAGTATTCTTGGGTTTTTCAGAAAGATTATAGCCGCGTTGGTCCAATGCTATGCACCTGGAAGAATACTCCATATCCCAGACGAAAATTTTGCAGACCGTACCGATATTTATCAGCAAAATGATTAAGTTGAAATCTCCAGGAATACCAAAACTCAGGAAAACCATGTAGCATCAAAAGCAAGGGCCTCTCGTCGCCACCTGTTTGTACATAATGAAGCCGAACGTTCTATAAACAGAAGTAAAAAAACATAGAACATCAAGGTGCACTTCAATATTCAAAATTTTTTGATATATAATACCAACAGAAGTTGATCGATTGACTCGATAGATCAATCTACGAAATTTGTACTAACCTTTGTCTGAAGAATTCGCTCATCCCAACCGTCAAGACATTTCGGTTTTGGGTGTTCTTTGACTACAAAGCAACTTTTGCCATAGACTATGCGATCTTTTAGCAAATACACTAGTGTTAAAAACGTCCAGAATACTTGTTGTAGTCTGAAGAAGATAGACTGCAATACAGCATTCATTCTGAAGGTGATAGCGACTGAAATTACACATGCACTGTTGTTTACAGAGAAGATGATGTGATGAGGAGGAGGAGTGTGAAATATAGCTCACTCAGGAAACAAAAAAAAATTGTAAAAACTTTAGAGCAAATGTTTCGCATGGAGGTGTTGAAGTTGAAATCAAGAAGTTGTCTCAACAAAATTTCAAACTTTCACACCAAATATCGCATTTCGGACACTTTTAGCAGAATAAAAAAATTTGAAAGTAATTTAGTAGCAGATAAAGTGCATGCCACATGACTACATGTCTGATTTTAAAAAATTGTTGAAAGGTTGACGAGTTGACATTCCAGATTGAGCACTGATGAAAAAATTGAGATCGACATTTTAGTGGACAAAAATGCAAAAATGAAGAAATGATTTTCTGCTTTGCTTGGGGCAAATGCAACCCATAGTATGTTGTAATAAATCACACGGCTTTACGATGGAGTCATCGATCAATTTTTCTCTCAGAGTGTTTATGCTTGAAGAACGAAAACATGTAAAGAAATTTTTTTCCAGCAAAACAGTTGTTACCGAGGAAAAAAACGGATAAGATATCGCTAGCAGCGCTGCGACAAAATCAATATGGTGTAGAACAAGAAACATCAGTAACATGTGAACAGAGCAATTCAGCAGTCGATGACTTCTTTGTTGTCAACAGCAAAGCAGCCATCAAGTCATAGATGTACTATAAACAGGATAATAAACGGTCTTAAGAGCAGAAGTTTGTCTGAGCGCTGATATTTATGAAGATGAGAAGGACTGACAGAAAATTCGTGAGAAGAAAGAATAACGTCAAACCTGAAACAATTTTTCAAAATGGTCAAATATTATCGTATTATCAAGTAATAGCCAGCATTTATTAGGTTGTTGCATAAGTTTTCTTACACTTGGCGAAAAAAACCTTCATAACTTGCAAAAAAATTTTTTCCCAGTTCCAAATCATATGAAATAGTTTGGATTTTCGATGTGTTTATGTCACACATGAAAACAATTCTCGAATTTTTTTGAAATTTTCTGAATCCATCTCGGCAGATTTCCATCTTGCGTTATCGAAGAGCTTGAAGCTCTGAACCTCCTCCGAGTACTAGATGCTCCCGGACCACAAAATAATTTTAAAAGATGAAAAGAAGAATGAGAGGTTCTTAAAAACGAAGAAAAATTGAGGGTTAGAATGCCGTTAAAGAACTGTGTTTATATCTAATGTAACTCATTTCCAGAGGCGAAAATGATGCCAATGGATAGCCCTTTATCTCCCCATCGATGCTATATATGAGGCTTCGCCGAATTTCGCTCTTCCAGAAAAAGACGAAGAAAGTGTAAAGATAACTTATGTAACAATCTAATACTAGCATAAATGGTGTTTCTTTTCTTCAATTCTTCTTGAGTTTCAGATGGATTCATAATAAGCTCGTCATATGCACAACCTTCACAATTTGCTTTATTGATAAGCGTTTGCAAATTTTAGGTATCCTCGTAAATTCTGTCTGGTTTGCAGGAAATTTCATTCTTTCCTGAAATGGTCTTTTGTCCGCAAGCTGATGCAGATTTCAAAGTGTGAACTTAAACAGTCCAAAGCAACAGTTCTTCTATCAATGCCCTTCTGCAATTGAGTTTGCTTTTATGTAAGCTCTAAATAATCTCTCTTGTCTGTTTTCCTTTGGTTGTCAGCCCTATAGGATAGAGTAGTAGTGGTAGTGATAGTAGTAGTACTGTTAATAGGTAGATCTACCTAATCACATTTTTGAGCATTCATAGGCTTGTTTCTGCTGTCGCACTGACCGCACTGATCGCAGCGGCCGCAGCTGCCCCAGCTTCTTACGAGAAAAGAAAGTAAAGTTTCACTAAAAAAATCAGAACCTGTGGTCTTTCAAAGCGTCATTCATGGCGTTTCGGTCGTAATCGAGGTCGTTCTTTCTTTTTACGTGAACATGAAGGGTCGCTGCGTCAGCTGCGGTCAGTGAGTATGAAACAAACCATAGGGGAAGCCTCAAAGCAAAGATCAAACAGCACTATTATCACTCAAACTCATTAAGCCTCTGGCAGAGTTCACGCGATTTCATCGTCGCGATTGATCGCGACAAGACAACTGTAACAATATCATTGCATACCGATCTTTTAGCATTTCGGTTGTGATAGTTTTCCAACGAAACATAAGAAGATCGGCATGCAATGAACTCGTAACACTTGTCTTGTAGCGATGAACTGCGACGATGAAATCGCCAATGAATGAAATCGCGTGAACTCTACCCGAGGCCTTAGTAGGAGGAGGAGGGGAAGAAAAGGTATACCTACATATTTGTACCTATGTGTCTACTATATAAAGACCAAGTTGGAAGTCCGTAGAAATTTTCTGGAAGGAGATCCGATCTTTGGGATAGCTGTAAAATTCTGATTTTTGGCCTCCAAATTTTACCTGGATTACGACTTATGTGGATCTTTGGTGGTCTCTTTGTTGAGCTTACTCCGCTTTATCGAATGGTACCCTCCGGTTAGAATAACAATAACTGCTTAGTTTATTAGAAAATGGAGTTTACTTTTGGGACATCCTAATATTTCCAGTACCATAATGAGTGCCTTTCAATAAATTGAATAGAATACGAATTTGAGTTGCGTAAACACTGCCATTTTCAAGTAATTAGTTTGAAGCGAGTTGCTCTGCGTCTTCATTCCTTAGTTCTTATTTTATGCTCGGACCAGGCCCCAACACGCGTTCGTTTGAAGCACTTTTGAAAACTAAGTCCCTAATGACTTCGCAAAATTCTAGAAGGGTTCCTTTGACGTCAAAATCAGTAGGAATTTAGTCAATCAACATCACAATACAGAAGCAAAAAACTCTCGAAGTGTTTGATACAATACAAAAAGCAAAATAAGTTTATTTTTTTTTGATAAAAGGCTCTTTGGAATAAGTTCTGAAACCGAAACATCGGTTTCAGAACTTATTCCAAATTTCACAAAATCATGGTTTTTGAACTAATACGTCTTTTGGGAAGTTGACGCCTGACGCTGAGTCAGAAAATGTTGCTGTGCGGTACTAAAGCCCTCAAGAGTTCTTTATGCGGTCCGATCCTACGCATAAAGCTGGAGTGTCGCTATGTTTGCCTGTTGCTTTCTGTCTGTTGTCTTCTTCGACTTTCCTATAAAAACTCAATACCTAATTAAAGAACAAAGTTCGTACAAATGCTGGCCGGGCAGTAAACTAGGCTGTCTTCGTCAATATTGACCAATATCAATCTACTTCTTAGAGCAAACCTTAAATAGAGGCAGTAATTCGATATCCACAGAGTGGTAATGCAATGGACAATCTTGTAGATGAACACTGCATCCGTGACCAGCATGCTTAGTTCCCTATACCAACTCCCAGTGTTCTAGCTCAGATTTTGTTGGTAGTCTGAAGTTGTTGCTTTGTCTGGAGTTTGAAATTGGTCTGGAAATAAAGGATGTCTTGCTCGATTGAGACCGGAATCGCCCGATGAAACGACTCACTTAAAGAATCCTCCACTTTACTGACCAAAGTTGATGTATATGCTTTAGTAGTTTCATGGTTCTACAATGATGCACATCAACTTTCGAGCAAAAATACGACTTATTGTTAGTCGAAAATTGAAAAGATCTCTCCACAAGACTGAACGAATTTGCTTATGACGGTCTCACGGAGGCACTTCATGAAATTACAGTGAATAACGCGGATGACCAGACAATCTACTCTAGCTCTAGCTCTTGAGATTTGTACCTTTGTAGAGAGTGCGCCTTAATTCCCGTGCAAGGAACTTGAACGAGACCAGCTAGAATAGAGGCTTGAGGTGGGTCCTGGTGGTGGTGAAAGCCGCTCATCTGGTGCAAACGATAGCGAACAGGGGGCTCTTGTTACATGTGGGTGGAAGAATTGTTCTTTATTGCCACCCGTACCATCACACTATGGGAAGGCACTTACTTGTATAGCCTTTCGGAAAGAGGCATATCATATTTGGAACCAGCATATTATTTTTGGAACCAGCTTGAAAGGCTAACTTCGAAAATGCTCTTCCTAGCTGCGGCGAGTGAGTTAATGAACTGATCTGAAGCGAGTTATTGAATTTTATTTCTGTTCGAATGCATGCTCATCAACTTACTGGCTACGGAAACTAAGTGCCGATAAGTTGCTTTAATTCTCAATCAACAACAAAAGCCTCGATGTGATGTTGTTTTTCATGTTTCAGCACCTTATTCAAGCAGACTTCTATCTGTTGAGTAGTATACCAATTTAGAACATAAAGCTGGTAGATCGCTCCAGAATAATGCTCCGCAGCTAGGATAGCACATTTGTTGCCAGCGTTTCAAGATAATTCCACTTGCATATAGTTTCTTCCTTTTTGGAAGGCAACCTAACAATAAGAAGGTGCATTCCCTCGTTAGTGATAACGGCTTTTAGGAAACTGTAAACATATTTAGACAGTTGTACTCGATGGGATGACAGATGTTTCATTCGATTACTGCCCAGGTAAAGGCGCACTATCTCTCGCCCAAGCGCAGCCACTATACTACTTGGGAAGCGAGTTTGTGAAAGGGCTAAGTTGATAGCTGAAGTCAAAATCTGAACGCTAACATCTATGAAAAGAAATAAAAGCATGGTTTGCCTAGCTGTTTCGCTTGGATTGAGACAAAAATGCGGCATGCGGATGATACCAGTTCAACAAGTTGCTTCGAATTTTTATTGGGGAATACATTTATTCCAAGGTAGTTATGATGGGGATAAAAACCATTAATTAGTTGGATCTTCTTTGATGACTCTGAAAATAGAGTTTGACATTATTTGATCATAAATCCCTCAGAAAGTGATTGGAAAGTAATTCTGGCTCACCATAAATTTTGTTTTGAGCTTGTGCTTTCAATAATCAGGGTACCATGGTATCCAAGTCCAGATAACTGGAATCAAATATATTATGTATGACATAGACGCAGCACTGCCGTCACTTCGTATTATAAGAGGCAGAAACGATTACGGTGCTTTGCTATAAAGTTAGCGAAACTTTTTGGGAGTTTGACAGCCATGTTGGTCTTGTTGATGGACTTAGCCAATCAACTATTTTTCGCCATAGGATGTTTGATATACAATCAAGCTTAGCCCAGTCTGAGTGCCGCTGCTCAAGCAGAGCGAAATTAGTGAAATTAAACTCAGCACGCCTACATCCATCTGCCAACTTAGCCCTCCAATGCGAAGAATGCAAACAAATTACTAGATCGATAGAATACACCAAAAATTTTCAAGCTAATGCTAGTTATGACGTCTATTTCGCTCCTATACGCATGCAAGGTTTAATACAATTGCATATCTATCATTTGATGCCGTCAGACCTATGTACCTTAAACTGATATACATTAATGATCATTTCTGGAGCTTTCGCGATATCAGTACCCAAAGCTCATTGTTCTGCACTTACATGGTTCTTCCGTTGTTGTAGTTGTTGGAGCGGCTGTTGTGGCTGAAGTATACATTTGTGCAATATGAAGTTTTCGAAAAGTATGCTGAAACTCTTACTGGAAGGTTCTCTCTGGCAAAGAGGGCCAACGGTGTTATCAGCTGTTTCACAAACAGCGCCTTTGATGACTTTGTTACACGGACTATTCTTAGTACATCCTTTCTTGCCCGTTGAGTCTGCCGAGTACAACGGTTCATTTAGCTGCGGCCTAGAAAAGCTTGTATGGATAAAGAAAAATAGGTGTTGATTGCTTGCCATTTTCAGCAAGTGCTTGATACGGACTAAGTTTGTCAGCTTACTTGTTCTCGTATACACACGCGATAGCAACTTTGCCGTTGGACTCACAGAATTGGTAAGAGCACCCGAATTTCAACGTCTTGTTATAGATCATCTGGAAGCAGTGCTTGTCATAAGGCAGGATGTCCTTCCTTCACGTAGGTTCGATTTAGAAAATCATAGAGACGTACATTAGCAAAAGGTTCTATGGATGTATCTGTGTACATGACGTCCGCGCTCAGAGGACTTTCGACAGTCTCACTCCAATCTTCGACAGCCCATTTGAGCATCTCAGCAAGCTTTTTGTTACCAGGCTTGCTTTCTGCTCTGTATCTGAAAACTACTTGAGTGAGTCGTAAAAGCGTTATTGCTGTACATCTTATATATAAAGCTGAATGTCTGTCTGTCTGTCTGTCTGTATGTCTGTCTGTCTGTCTGTACGTATGTGCGGAATAGAAATTTTTATTTCTGAACCGATTTGGACCAAACTTGGCACACATATACTTCGGGGCAGGGAGCGTGTCATAGGCTACTTTTCGTTATCGATCGATGTCGATTTTACCGATTTTTTGCAAAATTTGAGCTAGGGGGCTAGGATTTTGCACAGGGGGGTAATCGAGCATGCTGATCACCCCCTTCGGGGGTGATCAGCATGCTTCGGGGTGATCAGCATGCTCGATTACCCCCCTGTGCAAAATCCTAGCCCCCTAGCTCAAATTTTGCAAAAAATCGGTAAAATCGACATCGATCGATAACGAAAAGTCGACTGTGACAAGCTCCGTGCCCCGAAGTGTATGTGTGCAAAGTTCGGTCCCAATTCTATTCGGAACATACGTACACGGGTCTAGCTGGCAGGCCCGGCGGAGCCGGGCAAGCCAGCTAGTAATTACTAATCAAAGGTAGACCAATGCATGCATACGTTATAAAGTTTTCTCCTCTTCCTATCACGCTCATGTAGATTGATGAGTGTTTGCAATCTTTTCCAATGGTTGACAGTGCAAATCCTTCATTGGTACAATCATACTCCTGTAAACTCTTATAGAGTTGAAAAAAGTTTTCACAAAGACATGTCGGCGAAGGTTGCAGGAGTACTTCGAGTAAGACTGCCCTTAAATATGAAAAAGAAGTGAGCGGTTCATCACTTGTCTTGTCTCAACTTCACTGGTCATTGTCATAAACGTTGACAGAATTGACTTACCAACTTGAAAAGACTCTTTGTTCCTGGCAGTTCTCCGTAAATCTCCTTATCCAAAGCACGTTTAGCAACTTGTGCTCGGAGATCATTATGAGCCGTCGTCGCTGCTTCAATTAGTGCAGCGGGAAGTTTGCATGTGGCTAGAATGAAAAGAAAGTTGAGCTCCATGTTTTCGCGAAAGGATTTATGTGTGGATACTTCTTAAGTCGGTACTCACCTGCTATCGCTCCTTGGATTGCAATTGAACAGAGCTAAAAAAACATTTTTCACAAGCGAGTTTTCACGTAATTCATAAAAAATTTACCAGTAGTGCACAAAGCATTGCAAACCACTTTGCTGTGTCTATAGGCTTCTGCAATTAGATATAGAAAAGGTAGAATATAATATAAAGAAGATATATGCCTTCCTCAACTTCTACAAATTGCAAAGTTTTGATTTGAGATTTCATGCAAAGCAATAATAAGGGTTTCCTATTGAGGCGACACTTTTCCTCTGCTCTCATCAAGAGAGAAAATAAGAGAATTGATGTGCTAGTATGCAACGACCAATTTATATACATCTTCAACTAAAATTTTCACAGTCCTCTGTTCAGTTGGAAACAGAAGAATTGCGAATCCTTCAATTTTCCAGCTCATTTGCATCTGTAAAACAGTTGTGTTTTGGTAGTAGTCATTGTATTGAATTTAGACAAGAAGGAATTCCCTTTTGCATTATTTATAGTGAAATACAATTCGCTGTGGATTGATCTAGTTCGAAGGCAGCAAATAATTTTTATTGTTATGGAAAATTGTTAGTGTGGATGATACTGTGCAAAATGGTGAAAATTTCAAAACAGTTTTTGTTGCTAAAAAAACGGCTCTATAACAAAATATTTTTCTCGCAAATCGTGCTTTTTACAAGTTCTCTTAGAAGCAACAGCTAAGCGGTCCAAACTGACCTTTGGGAATAGTCGCCATGTAAATTTTATCATTTTCTAGTTGCCTCTAAGAATACGAGACTTCCTTCTTCTAAATTCCTGCAACTTTTTCTTGCAGTTGTCTGAGCAATCTATTAGACAACCTGTTCATTACCTTCTCAGCTTTTCCCTGTCTTTACACGCTTTTGACATCGTTCGAGAAGGCCATTAAATGATTTCACTCGAGTGTAGTCTGTTTTTAGGTGCGACCAAGTACCGACTCTACCGATTTTCACTAACACCACGGTTGATAAAGGCCTCCGACGAAGACGTTTTTTTGAAACGTAAGGCCAATGAAGAACTCCACCGTACAAACTTGGCACTGGCACAATATCATATGATAACTACTAACATCATTTTTATTTGATTGAAGGCCGTTTTTGAGAATGATATGTACCATTTTATTTTCACTATGTCGAAAACTTCTTAGAACTCGGACTGAGTCCACCCATTTTTATTGCCGCGATTGATCGCGATAAGACAACTGTAACAGTATCATTGCATGCCGATCTTCTTGCATTTCGGTCGTGATAGTTTTCCAACACGACTAACCATGACTAACTATCACGACCGAAATACAAGAAAATCGGCACGCAATGTGCTCGTAACACTTGTCCTGTAGCGATGAATTGCGACGATAAAATCGCGTGAACTCTGCCCGAGGCCTTAGGCAAAAAAGGTATTTACATGTATTGAGGCGCTGAAAATCTCTCTCTGTTCAGAATGGCACGTCAAACTAGCAAATACTTGATGTAGAACCTTCCAAGCTCTTTACGGAGTAAACAAAAGGTCCAAAATTTTGAGAGATACGGCCTATAAGAACGAGGCCGTAATTTTTGTGTAGCACAATGAATAATTTTTGCAGAGCTATCGCTCAGTACTGATATATGGCTATAGAGTATAGGAGTTTCCCTTCAAACACTCATTCCTGAATGAATTCACCTGGCGAAAGGGAAATTGCTGAAATTTTTTTATAGTATAAATCGTCCCCTCTCCCAATGCAATGTGTATATCACACCATCGAGCAACTGACATTGTTCGGGTTATAAGGAAGCGTTTATTTGCCAAATTTTCATTCTGCCAAAGTTCTGCATCGTCTGAATTTAGTCATAAGTGAGCGCATTCTTGTGTCCTCTTACGCACTGAACGTAGCAGGTGACCGTTTTTGCTGTTTTACACTCTGTCCTGCACTGTAAAATCATCACAGATTAAGAAAAATACGCTACAAATTTTTTTCGGAATTGGTCTTACCTCCTTGGCGACTTCGGATTTCACTTTAGGAGTGTCGAGCCCAGTATTCACTCGTCCATTTGTTATCTTCATTATTTCTCCATCAGTAGATACTACTAATACCATAAGGAGGGCATAAAAGAGGCAGAGCAAATACATCTGAATACTTTCGATTGCGTATCTATCCAAATGATTACAAAAGTGGGATTATGTGCAGTAAAAAGTCGAAGGAAGGAGCTCTCAGACCCATGGAATCGTATATTTTACGCTAAAAATCTACGAGACGATTCCACATTGTAGATGCTTTTGTTTAGACTGGAGTGAATCAAGCGGAAATTGAAAATGATTTGCCTACTCTGCACAAAGTTTATTCTCTCGCTGAGGTCGAAATTTGATATATACAGAACAATAATAGTTTACCATGTGCTTAACCTCGACCGTTTAGAATAAATATTGAACGGTTTTCACATGTTGTATGTATGTATGTATGCATGTGTCATAAACGTGGCATCTTGTCGTCCTCAGTTTGCTGGGTCAAGTAAATTTTACTTGTAATGCAATAGCTGAAAGCTCAGATAATCTTTGACCATTGCATCTTCTCTTTCTCAGACAACTGACCAGAACTTCCGCACCACTTTCGCAGCATTTCCGCTTGGTCACCTGCGAAAGTCTACGATCAAATTTGTTTGATGATTGTCTACGACGGCTGCAGTATCCATCACTGTGTGACTTACATACCTAACATAACAGAGTTGGCTGCTGATAGCTTTTCTCAAACTTTGATATCGTTGGAGACAATTTTAGCACTGCTGAGGATTCAAAGTGCAATTTTTCGATGCCGAGCATCATTTCTTCATCTGAAGTATAACAGTTAGGCCTCGGACAGAGTTCACGCGATTTGATCGTCGCGATTCAATCGCCGCGATTTCCGTTCATTTATATTTTACATTCAAAAATTTGGCTGGAAAAGTATCACAACCCGAAAAGCTGGTCGGCATGCAATGAACTCGTGACAGTTGTCTTGTCGCTTTTGAATCGCGACGATCAAATTGCGTGAACTCTGCCCGAGGCCTTAGACAAATTCAAGTAGTACACCGCTTACTAGAGAGGGTAGGAAAAGAATCTGCGACAGAATATTAGGATGGCGGGTGAATTTTTTTACACTTTAATTTATTTCTCAAAAATTTAAGAAACTTGTGAATATTTTTTATGTCAATGAAGAGATGACGGAGTGCAAGTCTGCCGATTGGTACTATCACTATCAGATCCGTGCGCAAAACATCCACTTTATCGGAGTGCGATTTACGGGCATTTTTTCATGTGGTGAGATTTTTTCAGGTGATCAAGGAGGGACCGCAGGATGTGGTAATCGGGCAGGATACTTTCCGTTTATAGCGAGTAGGAGGACAGCACAATCATGTCCGCACAAGTTTATATGAGCTACATCGTGCGCATGTCAACGCATTTTTACATGAACAATAATTTGTAAGGATTTATGAAAACTAGTTCCACCCTCTACGTATGAAATCCTTCACGATGCACACAAATTTTTTTTGACGATTTCTCAAATCTTTTGAACTATCTTTCACCCCTCGTTTTTAACATGCTAGCGGCACCGAAGTGCTGCCATAAAAGAGAGGGTGGGAAAATATATATGAGAAAATTATAGAAGGAAAAACACAATTAGACGCAGAGAAAAAATCGAAGAAATGAATTTTGAGTGTGCTTGCAAAGTTGTTGTAAACTTGCTTGCTATTTGTAAATTCGCCGAAACAGTCATACTGTTGGGTATCTGTTAGCGACGATGTTCATGCTCTGAAAACTTGCAAAAAGTTGCGTGGTGAATTACCAGCACGTATGAAGACCTCATTACACAACTTCAATCTTTCTCTGCGGTCTATTTCACAATGGGCCATTTGCTGCAAGTTCCTACGGCAAATCTACAGCAACGAATAAAAATCGATGCTTTGCTCCATACTGTAGTCTTGAAAATTGTATCTCATGAATGGCGAGAGACAGTAGATTTGGAGAGTTAATAGCGATCCCTGATCCTAGCGCGCAAGACGGTGTTTCGGATAGCCGCCCAAAATCCGACAATCAAGCGAAAGGGTAACTCTAAAAGTGCAATACAGCTTTTGACACAAGTGGTCAGCACCAGTTTCATCATGTGTTCAGGTGAGCACTGAGTTGATTTTGCGTTTTGGTTGATGCGTTGTACTTATGTGTCTTACACTTTTCAGACTTTGAAGAAGGCGAGTTGACCGAAACGTCAGTCCGTATATTATGTGCAACAAAGATCCATCTTGGTCTCCATTAAAGAGTTAACCAGAAGATTCCAATATGAAAATTGCTTTGAGAATCAAAATCAGCAGTAGACCGTTGCGACTCCGAAACAAGAGCAGCTCATTTCAACAAAAAACCGGCATCCCTTTCGTCGCAATTGCATTGCCGAACCTGAGTTCCCTCTAGGGTTTTCAGAAACGAAGTCTACTTCGAATCCAAGACATATTACGAAGTCCGTTTCGGCTCTCTTAGACCGTGTTGACTCGGTCTTGCAACTTTCATATTACCCTAATTTCAAGAGTACAAAACGCACCTTTTCCGATTCTCTAAGTAAGCCGCTCAGTGCCTCGTTGGGTTTCGGGAAACGGAACACATACCGCACGATATTCCCAGGCAATACGCAGCTCTGTACAGGGTACTTTGGTCGCAAAGTGTCTTGGTGTGTTCTGGCTGGGCGAATTTAGCGAAGAAACAAGTGCGTCCTGTACTCGTGAACTTAGGGTGCTTTACTGCGAAGAACAGAATCAAGTAATGAGAAAAAGAACACACAAAGAACTACTGTGTGACCTGCGTATGCCTTCATTAACTTCAAATCATCATCAGAAGGAATCTGCGGATGCAGAACATATGAGCCTAGATAGAAGTTTAAAGAAAAGGAGTGATAAAGACCATAAGCGGAGCTTGATCGCGATGAACAAAGCTATTTTCTGTATAATTCAAAGACAAAACATAGAAGAGAGTCAGCTCTTGAAACAATGAAGAAAAGCCAAAAAATGCCTATGCCAAACCTATGCCAAAAAAAATTTCACAATTATATGCATTTCCCAGTATTGATACTCCAACTCGGTTGGCCACAAGAAGCCGTCCTGATCAACTCAGCTGGCTTAGCAGGAAAACGCATTCGCATATTTCAATTTTTGGCAGCTATTTGCACTTTTGTAAATATCAGTGCTATTCACATACTACCATCATTAAACACATCACATTAAAAATATATTACTTAGAAGTAGTGGCTCGGTAAATCGTCGACCTAAAGTTTTTCTGCTTGTCAACGTAATTCGACGCGCTGATCCCGAAAATCCACCTTAAAGAGGCGAAAACTGAGATACATTTTCTTAAAGCCCCTCATTTTGAATTTGAACGTGTGGAACAGTTCCCGCTGGAGTTGCTGCGGCACCTTCGCCGTTATAACATTGCGGCATGCCGCCTCTAACGGTGAATCGGTAAATCGGTAAACGGTGGGAGAGAAATCGCAAGCTCGTCTAAGAATGTATAATGGCTTGCCCGCACCGTTTAGAAAGTTTCCCTAGTAAGGCAGCATACTGTGCGTTCGGACCTGCTCTGTTCTCATGTTTGGGGTGCAAGCAACCTTCTGTAGTAAAATTTGAGATGTTCGTTTTTGCCGAGCCACTGCCTTTGATGTCGTCCCCTTTTGAGAACAAGGACAAGAAAGAGTCTTGCAATATGCAATGCACCAGCCCTTGAAAACAAAACTGGGAGGGATAGATGCAAAATACAAAATTACAGGGTGGGGCAAAAGTCTGGGAGCCTAGTACTTTTTCAGATAAAATTAGAAGGAAAGTGCCTAGGAACAGAAAATTTGGTGCGCACATAGATCTAACCTTTAAAAATAAGCGCTACTCTCAAATTTTAAGATTGCCTGTTCTGGCTTCAAAGCAGCCCTTCGAAATCTTGAAGAGTCCTCCTGTCGTGGCACGCAGGCAGTCATGATAAAATTCGTCCCACTCCTTTAGGATAACTGTTTCTTTCACCAGGCAAATGTGCGGTGTGATAGAGCAAGCTTTTGGCTACTACATACTGCGAGGAAATTTTTTTTGCAATGTTTAGGAAAAAATTTTGGAATAATTGGAGGCAAGTGTACAATGTATACTGGAAATCTGGATGCGATTGCGCGAACGGGAGCGAAGAATCGTAATCTGAAAAGTTAAACTTGCTTAATTGGTCGAACTCAAGCACATGCTTGCATAGAAGACTCACGAGAAAAATATAGCCTAGAATTTAGTGCCTACTGTGCTCCTATAGCTTTCAAATTTATTTCAAAGAAAAATGGCCACTGGCACGCAGCTAGTATTCGCAAATTTTTATCTTGCGTTTTTGAAAGAATAGTCTCTGACAAACGCAACGACTACGAATTGATAGCGCGAAGTCTCCTCTACATTGTTTGCATTGAAGCGCTTTAGAATATACACTGTATCTTTAGCTACGAAATAAGTTCTGAAGACCAAAAATTTCGATTTTCTCGCTTTGCAGAGCACTTGTTTGATAAATTCAACTCCTACAAAAACATATGGCAAGCATTTTCAGCCAGCCAAAGTGTGATTTGTAGAGGATGATCGCAGCAATATGCGGCTCAAATTTGGAGTCAAAACCATTAGTAGTTTCTTGATTAACAGCACTGCAAAGTAGGCTTCCAGACTTTTGCCCCACCCTGTACAAAGCTTTCCTTATCATAAAGGACTTTTGAGGTTTTTCAGGCCTACAACCTATGTAAAAATTGACGCCAAGAGCTGATAAAGTGAGGATGGTCAATCCTCTGCAATTCAATGTCGTTGCTCTGCTTCGAAGATGCACTGATTATCCACTGTCGGTCAAAAAATCTACATAGTCTGTGTAGAGTCTTTACCTCGTAGCAAGCGTCGCTAAATAAACTCTGCATAACAGCTTGAGCAGATTTCGGAACGCATTCAGGAAGCCGCTCTATCGACGTAGTCAATTCAATTACCCTTTGGGCTTTTCGCATGTCACTTAGCCAAGCTTAGAGACTAGTGCTTTGAGATGATTTGCAAGCAGCAAGCTCGTTGATGCTGCAAATGCTTGACTTAAATGTACTAATTTGCTGTCCCATACTCTTAATTTTTTACTTGTGATTTCTCGCTCTCAAATTAATACTGAATGTAACAGTCTAGGTTTTACTGCTAACACAAAAATCTAATCAAATGATGGACAAATAAATACATTTATTACGCTTTTTGACAGCTCGTAATTTTTTTGCTCCAATATTCTTCACAGACTCGAGACATCATTAAGAAGTAGTTTCAATGTGATTATAGTATAAAACTTGCTTATCTCTTTACATTATTGTAGGATATATTATTGAAAAAATGTCCAGCAAATGTTCCCAATGTATTATTGGAAAGATCTTGGCGAATTTTCTCGCATACTAAGTCTAAATTAGAATCCTTTTCTTTGCAAAAATTCTGATTCAACAGTATTAAGAATTCTGTAAAAATTTCTCAAGAAAATTTAGTACAGCACATTTGTAGCTTACTCTGTACACAGTAAATTCATTTTTAGTTTTAGGTATTCGGAATTGGTGTTCAGCAACAATGGACAATATTTTTGGACCGTTTTTTATGTTCTTCCTTTGTTCATTTTTTGATCTTCCCATATTTTGCAAAAGCTATTCCGTCATAATCACAACCACAAGTAGCAAAATAAATCATGGGTAGTCGTCTCTTTTTTTATCTGAATTGTTGCCCTTCTATCCGTAAGTGATTTGCGCAAAATTTTTGTCAGGAGTCTATGTTAGTATATTAGGTTGGACCTAAAGTTCGTCCGCGCCAATTTCAAAAATTCATGACTTCTGATTTTCAAAACAGATTTGCATGCTTCTATTCTTATCTAAAAGAGCAATTCATTCTGTCTATAGCGACATCTTAGCGGTGTTCCAATGGGTATAAACTGCATAGATATAAGCGGTAGAAAAAAATTACTCAAAATTTCGATTTTCTGTGTTGAGTCATAGAAAATCGGAAACTTGCAGCAAAAAATCGGAGCAGTCGGTGTTGTAGGTTCTGTTATCTGCTCTTATTAACTGTGCAAAGTTTGCGCTGATTGAGCGTCTCTATGAAAAGTTATAATTTTCGAGCAAGCAATACAAAAGGGCGAATTTGATTTATTTTGGCATTTTCCAGGGAAATCATAACTTTTAAAAAGAGGGTCTCGACGCAAACTTTGCACAGTTGGAAAGAGCTGGTCAAAAAACCTATACTACTGACTGCTCCGATTTTTGCTGCAAGTCTCCGATTTTATGATCCTACGCAGAAAATACGAATTTTGACTAATTTTCTTCTCTCGCTCCTATCTATGCAACATATGATCATTAGTAAACAGCTAAGACGTCATTATAAAGAGAATGACTTACTCTTCCATAACAAAATGAAAGCAGTCAAATCGGTGTAAAAAACAGAAGTTATAAATTTTTGAAAATGGTGCGAACGAACTTTCGGGCCAACCTAATAAATGATTTTTAAGCAAAATTTTTCCAGGCATCTATGTTAGTATATGTCCTAGATTATTTACTTATTTGCAAGCGATTCGAATGAGTGCCTCAAGATTCTGGTCATCAATGCTAACTGCAAGAAAATTCAAATTTTTCTACTTTGAATAGGTTAGAACATACACCACGGAAGTCAGAGAAAATTCTGGGATGATGCAGTTCTAGTAAAAATTGCAATTACAATCTAGATGACTAATTTCGATATGTTCTCGTATTGTTCTCTCAATTCGTCAGCATTCACTGAAAGCTATTACTGTTTTTTCCAGAAGTTTTTTGCTTGCAGCGCTTTCACAAATTGCAATCGGATGCGATTGCCTCATACTCTATGACCATTTCCGGCATTTTCTAATAGAACTGCCGGATATGCCAGCACTCCATCATATTCACAGCGGCTAACTCGCCTAACCACATGGCTATACATCGTTTTTGCTCAGTCCACTCTCGTATGATTTGGCTTTTCATTCGAAAATTTTGTGACCGAGCGATTAGGAGAAGTACTTGTGTCTGCTGCTATTATAACTTCGTCGAAAAATTGCAGAGTAAGATTGCAGGAGTTCTGCAAAGTTTAAGTGCATGTTTTTGAAATTCTAAATTCTAATCCAAATTGCTCACTTTCTATAGAATATTCAAGTTGTGGTCAACATGATGAGTATAGAATTTCTGCTTTTCTGACCCTGAAGGTGCTCTTCATATGCCTACTTTTTTAAGGCAATACAGCAAAACTCAGTTTTTGATAAAATAAAGAGGAATCACATTTTTTCTTAGTTACCAAGACTTCCTGAAAGGCTCCATGAATCTACCTTGAGAAGGATAATATTCTAGACCTCTTCGCTCCCTGCTCCTTATTATTCTTCCTTTCAGTCTGGCTATTTGTAAAAATATGCTTCCTAAAAATACCTGTTTCTACCATAATGTTCCTTCTCAATTTATGATTTTGTTTTGATCGTTGTTCATTCAAATTTATGATGAAGTCTTTAGAATTCGCTGCTTTCATGCTGTCAACAATATTTTGTTGGCTTCCCTTTGCTTGGCCTCCCGTTTTCTTGCCACTTTTGAAGTTTCTTATTTTTTAGAGCATGGTGCCTCTCCCAATTTCCGTGGTTTTCTACGCCGTACAGATGGCACCATCATTATCGTCACCATCAGACTGCTCAAACTTAGGGCTGACTCCGAGCGAGATAGTGGAAACGCTCATGGCAAACTATAGCAGGTGCTGTTCCTAAGAAAAATTTGTTGAGTATAGATGTCTGTTGCTGGATAATTCTACTTAGGTCCGAAATACCTAAACCACAACCTGTTCCCGTGCAAGTCGAAGTTACCATACAGGACATTATGGAACTATCTGTTTTAAGCAACAGCTTTTCGGCTGACATATGGTTTAGGTGAGTTTTCCATCTTAGGCTATTTTTTTCAGGCCACTTTTGTTTCTAATGTTTACGGATTGTAGTCTTGAACAGAGTTCACCACAAAGAGCACATAATATTTCTCACATAGATAAGAGTTTTTGCTGTTCTGGTAAAACATAAAACATATTAGTGCTTCAGCATATGGGTGAAATCTATGCCGAGCAGGGTTTTCACAACATTTCCGCCTGGTCACCTACGGAAACCGTGCGAAAGTGCTCCTGAACCGCTGCAAATTCTGCTTGTCCTGCGGACGTTCCAGTGAATTGTCCGAGTTTGAAAGAAAACACGCCATCACCCTGAGTTTTACTACTGTGAACATCCAAGCTCTCATTGTGCTCGGAATAATGCCCCTTTGTAAATTCTTTCTAGAAGCTTTATCCATTCCTTAGAATCACAGTAATTACAAATTACTGAAAAAAGTTTTCGAAGAAGGGATTCCCGGTGGAGGGACACAACTACACGGATACCAAAAAAGTAAGGAACTGCAGCGACTGCCTTAGAAATTCCAGTTTCGACTAACTTGCTAAGTCGCCAAAGGGGTTCAAGAGTAATGCAAGCCAACAGAAGGGTCAAAATAACCACTATATGTGTCAGAGGGCGCGGATCACCAACCTACCGATCTTCAGTGGCGGGAAGAAAAGCCCGCGCTGACCCCCTCGGCAGGGTAAAATACCGGGAGTCAAGGGGGAGTCTCAGACTGCGCTGAGGAAGCTCTAGCGGGAGCTTAATCCGTCGAAGAAAGGCGGACAGAGAGTCCTTTAGACAGAGAGTTCATCCAGTCAACCTGCCGAAGGGGTCAAAGGGGGTAAAGCCCGCTGTTTCGTTGTTAAGCTTGTTCAAGTTACACGTGCTTGTTTTCTTGTTGTTCATTGCCTTTTCCTGAGATAAATTATTAGTCGTTCGATCCGTGTAGTGTCTCCACCCGGTCGAAACCGTTATACCACTAGACCATCCCCGCTTACATAAGTGCATTAGGTAAATCGTCATCCGCTTACTGTTAGTTCCGATTTGGATATGTCAGTTATAACACTGCTTTGTCTTAAGGCTTTTAGAAATCAAAATGCCAAGTACTATAGCTACTTATCGTTGTTTATTCCCACAAGGTCGTAGATCTTGAGAATTAGAAAAGCCTCTTTCATCTGATTTCCGGCTTTCTAGAAATCTGCTCAGATAACTTATCAAAGTTTTCTGTATTATCTGTTACAGTGCTATCTGGCACGACTCTCGTCTTGCCTTCAGCCATCTAGACAGCTGCAGAGCCAATATGTCGTTTGATGATAAATTCGAGAAGGTGCGTGAGTTTATAATAATTATATCAGCAACAGATGTGGAATTCCGTATTAAGCTCAAAATTTTGCAATACTCAATATTCCAAGAATACTCAAATTTTTGATGGTTTTACTTGTCATTGCCATTTTTTCCGAGTCTATGAAAAAAATTCTGCTTTAGATATTTTTGCTTTTGAAACACATTATAGTCATTCATAAGCATCATCATCCATACCCTTCTATTTTATTAGATTGTCTAATATATTTCGTTTCAACATACAAATTTGAAGTTCTTTGAAATTTAATTAAATGTTATTTAACTACGATTTTTTGTAAGCGGGTTGCTTCAAATTTCTATTACCACATACTTATTACATAGAATTCACAAGCGTGATAAAATACAGTTATGAACTTATACGACTAGCCTGAGCGTACCATTCGGGCCCCTTATGCCCACGTTCGTTTCGTTTTTAGAGCACGATCTTTCGGAAATTTGACAAAAAATTTGGCTTCCCTGCGTTAATTTTGCCATCAAACAAATTATTTTTGAGAAAAGAAAATCAACCACCCGATCCTCCTTAGTTCACTCTTTTGAATAGTACCACACATTAGACAAAATTTGTCTATGACATTTCTACAGGCCGTTAAAAAAAACCGAAATAATTTTTAGCCAAACTAAGATGATATCACTTCGATATGTAGTAGATACTAGCGCGTTGTACTATCACTTTTGATATTTGAATTTCGTGTTTAATAATCAAGGGGTGAAAACGACCCATTCACAAGACAGAAAATTGCATTTCAGATGTTATGGTCCCCAAATGTGTGTCTGGTTAACACGAAATCAACTACGGTACATATGTCACCGAAGCCAAACGTTCTACTTATGTTAATGCCGAATGGAACTATCTGGCTCAATTATAGGGTTAGCAATCATGTTAGATCATCAAGATGCCTTTCAAATGATCCTTCAGGTCAAAATCGAGTCACCATGTTCGATGAACTTGGAACGGTTCCCTATTGATCAGCAGGTTTGCTCGCTGGTGAGTTGAAAATGGTTGCCTAATTTTTCTTTCTTTGTCTAGAGCATGCGGCATTTTTTTCACTATTTTTCTTGCTTGTTTTGAATTTTTGATTGCAAGTTCTGCCATATGGAATTTATTCATTGTTTACTTATTCTTAATTTTGTTCTGATGATTTTTACAATCCAACACCTTGCATTGATATTATTGAAGCTGCCATTCGATTTTGAGGTATTCGAAAGCTATTCCTACAATACTGCTACAGTTAGAATTGATTGGATGCCTGTCGCGATTACGGTACTTGATGACATCAGCCTACCAGATTTTGATCTTGCTGGCTTTCGCACGTTCAAGCATACCGAGGTAATCTACATTCATAGATAATTCAGAATTTTCAATGGTAGCATTTTCGCATCAATCACTTTTGATTAGAAAATCGATTATTACTGGGCGACGGCTATAGAGCAAGAAGGACAGGGGCGGTGTCCAGGCTAAATCTAACCCCCTCCAAATAGTGCGGATCCTGAATGTAGGCCATAAGAGAAAGGCATCTGCGTTAATCCGGCCCTCTAATGTTCTCTGGATGGAGATATTGGCCCTGTAGCAAGCAAAGTCTATCAAACTCCGCCCATCCATGTACTGAAAACACCCGCGCGATCAAGAACAGGGTCCTCAGTAATCGGGTATTTTTTGGGGTTTTGAACAATCTGAACTTCATAACTGTAAGCAGGGTCGAAGGCTCCAGAAAGGCAAAAACATGGGAGGCGAAATTCTGAGTGGATGCTCCCTATAAGAGGGTGAGGGAAAAGAAAATACTTTGATCTGACAAAACATTGTCAAGTCGGCAACCAAACCTACTACAGTATGCCATCATAACTGTCGCTGATTGGGGTCCCAGCTTCAGACGTCAGTGGTAAGATGTTCTCCTGCACCGGCGAGGGGAGCTGAGGACTGCATCCGCGAGATAAAGTAACGACAAGCGGGGAAGGGTAACTAGCTTGCGCGCTCTTATTGCCTGCCACATCACGGATACACTAAACATCTTAGAGGCCCTAGGCTACCAACCTACCCCTAATCTCAACTGCCAGCTATCTCAAGCCGTACCACACATTGTCGGCAGTTGTGGATCATAATTACTGTGGCATTAGCCGGCCTCATGCTCGTCCTCCTACTGATGGAACCCTTCTGGACGTCAAACACATCATGAACACACAAATAGCACACCGATATCCCTGAGGCTAAGGCCTAAGCCCAAAGCCCAACACTCTAGTCTGTACACAACGACTCTTAAGTGCCCACCATTTATCCAGAACCTCAATGAACACACAAACAACTCAACACAATGGGCTGAGAACACACCGTAAGATTTTACATTGGGGCATGTAGGAAAAAAACTCCGGGTCGCTCCCCTGCCGTGTGGCAAGCAAAAGCTCACATCCGGATTACCTCGAGGCGACGGGCCGAGTCAGTCCTTCATGCGTGGTGATGCTCTTCGCGAAAGTTGAGGAAACGGCGCTGCTTGACTGATCCTAGTTGAGCTGAGTCAGGGCCCAACAGAAGGTGCCATTTGAGAATTTTGAAAACGAAATCCCCTTTTACATTGCAGAAGATTACGAAATACCTTTTGTGATATTTGTGAAAGTACGGCTAACAGCCTGCAGCAAACGCAGAGCGAATGGAAGTTAAGAATAGACGGGGAAATTGGAGATAAAACAGCAACACGTGAAAAAAAAGCGGTTTTTTAATCGTTCAAGGACTCTAGCAAAGCACAAGAGACGAAATTTAGGGTAAGGTAAGTATTCGTAGGTGGAGTTTGAACTGAAGAATAGACTTACGTAAAAATTTATGAAAAATTATGTGAAGAAGAGGGAAAATTATGACTTTGTTTGGTTCCGCGCAACCTCAGGGTGCTCCCAGGTTGCGGGAGCAACCTAAATTAGAAAAACACCTGCAGCTCCTCTCACTCACATAATTTTTTCATAGTTTTTCGTACTTTCCTTCTGATCGTCGCCGCGGAGATACACACTAAATTTGGTGACTCAATACTGCTTATCGGTTGTAAACGGACTGATTATTTATTTTTTATGCATAAGGATTGTGTCTTAACACGTCAAAATCTTGTGCACGCGGGTCTAAGCACTTGTCATGTTTTGAGGTGTTAAGCTGCATGTTATTGGTAAACTATGTCGGAGTTGGAATAAGGGCCTACTAAGGTTAGCTCTGTGCTTGCTAACATTTTACAACTTTCCGGGAGCCACCGCTGGGAACGTTACAAGTTCCCTTTTGCTTTTCTCTCAAGAAAACGACATCTAGCCTGTGAAAGCGCCACCTCTGCTGAGCCCTGAGCTGAGTTGAAGCCGACCGCGCGCGAATAGACACATGTGACTTACGCGACTTTTTGAACGTAAGCTGCGGTATATGTATGTGAGCAAGAGGCGGGGCAACGCGCGAGGATTGGCGTTTTGAGACCCGTTCGCGCACGAACAACGGGCTCCCTGAAGAAGTCGCGCAATCCGCGGCAATAACCAATTTTTGCATTGGCTTATTACGCAACTATGCCAGTGGCGAACCGAAGTAGGAAGGCGGGCGGGGCGCCCTTCCCCAAAAAGTGGCCAAATTCTCGAAGGAGAGACCTAATTTTGTCCCCCTCCCCCCTCCAAAAACATTTTCGGCCTCTATTGCTAGGTAGCCATGCCGCTTAAGTATAAGGCTCAAACTGGGCAACCTAGCAAATACCAGTACTGCCATACAAGTACCGAGTTAGGGGAACATCTATCTCTGGGTGCAAAAGGGATTCTACATTTTAAAATTACTTTTGTAGCAATACAAAGCCGGTGAATGGTATCGCCTAACAGTTGAGCTAACATTTAAACGACGATATGGTTTCTACATCCTACAGGTAAGCACATTCCATTTATGTGGCACACTGTTGGTACTTTCTATCAGTACTTTTGAGATTTGATATGCCTATGCTTCTTCAGATGTATTTTCCTACCTATATCTCAGTATTTATCTCGTGGATTGCATTCTGTATCGACACCAAAGCTCTTCCAGCAAGAATTGTACTAGGCGTGAATTCCTTGATGTCACTCACCTTCCAGGTAAATCCGACCTGGTAAACAAACAAATTTATAGCCTGTGTTTCAGTTCGGTAACATTATACGTTCCCTTCCACCGGTTTCTTATATCAAAGCAATCGATATTTGGATGTTTACTTGTGTTGCCTTCATATTCGCCTCGTTGCTGGAACTTGCATTTGTTGCTTATCAGGTGAAAATTAATCCAACAAATTATTATTGAGCTTTTTCGTTTTTACCTATGACTAATATTCGGCAGCCCGATGGTCATCCGCCAACGTGGTCGCAGTGGTAGCGGCGAAGTGCCACTTGAAAGCTAATAGCATCTGCCGCAAATTTGCACGGGTCTCTAACAGTAAAATCAGTCACGGGTTTGAATTCGTTGTATATTTAGCCGAGAAAATATCAAATATTTTCCGCTGTGGCTTCTTATTAAAGACAGCGGCTCGGCAGAATAGACTTTCCTCAGAATTTGACATAGATAGGAGGCCCTCAAGTGAAAAAAGGCCATGACAGGTTGCGCAGGATTCCATTTGATCCAGTACAACATACTTGCGACGATTCGCGATATAGGCGCTTGCACAAAGGGAGGGGGGTATCAGCTGAGGTTGGGTAGCCCTTAGAACACTGCCACCCCGACAACGAAATATTTTGGAACGAAACGAGGAACGATACTGATAGCTGTGGCCTCGAAGTCCCAAATGAAGACATTTAGGTGATCTGATTGTAAGTAGCATTTTCGATTTCCAGGACAAGAAGCTAATTCTCAAATCAAGTCGATCCGGTCACACTCTTTACGCCATACTGTCTTTCATGAAGTACTTCGACCCGTCTGCACATGAATCGCCTCCTTCGCAGCATAAGGAATCAAATGTGGAACATTCGGACGTGAGTACTTTTTTTCAAACGGTCCGCCAAACGGTGCGCGGTCCCGTGCAACAGTTTATAGCTTTGATTATACAAGCTGTCGACTGTTGAAGAATTTCTGCACTGAACTTATCCTACGAGTTCATATTTATAGTAATTTCCCAAAAATTCCTTAAATTAGATCAGTGATTACACCTTTATCAATGAACAGCGCTAACAAGGGAAGAATAGTTGATGACCGTGGCTCTTTGATATTTGTTGTACATTATAATGCTCGTCTTGAAACGCTGATCTCGAAACTATGTTCGTTATTTGCGGAGCGCTTAGCGTTTTGTAAAGCGAAAGCAAAAATACTAACACCGACAGAGGTGAAACCAGCCTCCACTATGCAATAATCAACAGCGCTAACCGCTAGACCATTCGACACCCCTTTAGCTTGCGAGGAGATATCTTTTTTTTTGAAAGAATTATTCCACAGATAACGAAGACAGCTTCAAGGCGAATGTCATGACATATGTCACATATCGAAGGCTCGCGGTCACCAGTATCTTTTCCTCTTAAGAAGCAAAGCTGGTAAATGATCACCAACATACAGATAAGGTACTATATTCAGAGTATGTGAAACAGGTGCAAATACATGAGATGAAATCGAAGGCATTACGTCTTATTCAAAGACTCCGTTCTAATGGGAAGAGGTTTTGAGCCGCCGAAAGGGGAGGTTCTGCGCGAACACCTGCGATAGATACGACCTGACATAAACGCAAGAGATGCGTAATTGTCGCAAATAGTCGAAAGCTTTTCCAAGACCCAATATTTGAATTAGAACGTGAGCACACGAATTTTGCCAAAGTTAGACGCAGAGTCGCTGTGAGACCCTGCGGTCATGACTGTATGCGCTATACGCGTTCTAGCCTTGCCGTACGAATGGCCGCCGCGCGGGCCTACCATTAGATCAGGGCCACTTTCGGGGAAATTTAGGCTAAGTAAACCCCTTTTCTGCTTCAAAGTTCAGCCATCGCTTAGGTGGAGGGTCTATGTGGCAAAGCTGCAAATGCCCAGCACTCCTCACTTTGCCGGGGCGCTGCCTTTAACATCTTGTCAATGATAAGTTCATCACCACCCAGCTTTCAAAGATATACATAATTGTCCGACACAAGGGTGACAAACCAAATTTGTTTTGCCATTTATGAATTTTTCGATTTCCATGTGACCGTCAGCGCCATCGGTTGTTCATGGTGTTTGTGTGCACTGCAAACAAGTAATTTTTCTACTTTTGAATACCAAAGGATTTTGAGAGAAGCTCCAATACTTTGAGCACATAAATTTTGGATAGTTTCTCATATTCCGTTCTTGATAGCCATCTCTGCTTACTTGCCAGATGCTTTCGTTGAAGTGCGTTACAAACGAACAGTTCTACAAGACGGTACTAGGAAAATCTTGCATAAAGTTAAATACGCTCTTCGCTCACATAGTTTTCAATATCATTTCTAGTTCGTCCCATCACCTCTCTTGAAATTTGACTGCGCTAGGAATTGGTATGAGACGCAAAAGCACATGTTGTTTCTGAAAAAAGGTGTGCTTGCAAGAAGACATCGCCTTTCTGGTATCTAAAGCCTCGGGCATAATTCTCGCAATTCGTCGTCGCGATTTTCTCGTCGGATCAATAGTTTGCATGATAAGACAGCGACGGCGAAATCGCTCATCGCTTGTACATGGTCATAGTACGTCTGCATGCATTCCGATCAAACACCACAGTCATAGTGCGATGCGGGTTACCCGCACTGTCTGGGAAAAACAGACAGAATGCGAATCGAGCGCAAACAACCGGTGCGGTAGATATCATCGTACATCATGACCTCTTTACTCTTTACGTGGACTCTTTACAATCATAACGTGACATCGGCAGGAAAACATCAATGTTTTCTTGGCTATGATTTACCGAATGGCGTACGAGCTAGCTGAGCGGCTGCAGAAATTAAAACTATGGCCCGTAGTAAAGCTCGGTCAGTTCAGATGATGTAAATTGAGGGCCTCAGTGCGGTTCCATAAGGTAAGATGACGACCGCCTTTTCCCATGCTATAAGAATGCGAGGTGATCTGACAGTTAACCGTCCGTCTAATCGACGAGGTCGACTGCCTCACACTCGTAAGTTCACGTTCAGTTGAGACGTCAACGATGCAAATAGTTTGGGATTTATGAGACGCAGAGAAAACACACGTCAATTTACAACATAACATGTTGAAGAAATACTAAGTGAGGAGTCACAATGCAGCCTGACGATTTTTAACAAGATCTAACACGGCGGATCACATATCTGCCACAAGACAATCACATAGTAGATGTGAATGTATGGCGAACGCGTTTTGACTCGTATAATGGCATGCACTTGATGTTCTCAGTGATAATATCATATTACCATGAATGGTTGGAATTATCATTTAATGGTTCAAATGAGACAGAGCTGACTCGTCCAATGCCCAACTGAGGCTTTCTTTGGTCTAGATCGACTGAGGCAGCTATGCTAAGGGTTTATATGCGTTACATGTTATACCAAATTCTTACATTATCTTGCTCTCAAATGGGGGCAGAGGAACATAAAATAGATATGCAAAGAAGAAATAGTGATCTACTTTGCAAAGCTACGATTTTTGCACCCAGATCACCAAGATTAAATGGACAAAAAACTTTTGCAAAAGTGAGTAACACGATAATTATGAAGAAAGTGCAACAAAACTTGAAATACTTTTGTTCTTCCACAAACTTCCACAAGCTAATCTCCTGTTGTGTTTACTACTACCTAGAGATAAGCAGCACTTACAGGTTACTTATTCAAACAACAGATTTGGAGCGCTGTTCGACCATGTATTCTAAGAGTTTGGCAACTCTCAATTTTTCGTTTAAGACTTCACCTCCCTCCTTCGACGCCGCAACTTCTTCATCACTCGAGAGAACAATTGTGAAGCAACGCCGTACAAATTTTTTGAGAAGAAGACGAAGAATTCTTGACTTTGGGAGTCGTATCGACCGTATATCATTTTTCGCCTTTCCTACAGTAAGATATTTGAGATCTTACGGATGGGAGTACAATCTAGATACATAGATGACAATAGATGAATAACGTAACGATAGATAATGTTTTCAGTCATTCCTCGCTTTCAACGTTTTCTATTGGGGATTCTACCTACAAGAGGAAACGCCTACGACACTGGACTAATAACATGGTTTATTGGGCTTGTAAGCATGTAATTGCAAAGTGACCATAAAGATACTATTGTGTATTTATGAACACATTTCAGGAACACAAGTTGAAAGCATACTTAACTTTGTATGATAGGACTTTTGTATAGAAGAGAACAGACAAGTCTATGGATTTGTAATTTGCTATAGTTTGGCTTGTACTTTCAACGACGAGGTAAGCCTGCAAAGATAATATCAAACAAAACTTTGGCTTAAAAATCTACAAGGAGATACGTGATTACAGGGCATGATCGATAATAAAAGGGGCCCTGTACCCAAAGCGTTTTAGCCCATTTGGGGGATGCGTCTTTTCGTGCGCATCTCAATGTTTATAGCTTGTCTATCAATGAACTGGTAGTAATTTTCTGATGTTGCTAGCTTTATTCCATGCGGTCTTGCTGCCTTAGACAAATAACAATGACTAGTTAGTGAGAGATGACTGCAAAAATGCACACTAGAAGAAATTCCTTTAGATAATTTAATGCTATTCGCTTCATAACGGGAAGATGCTCCTGTGAAAGTTTCAGGATTTGTTGATAGTTGCAGAGCCTTATGCGTCATGACACACCTAAGACTTGATACTCTCCTGCAATACAAGCAGGCCAGAACAGTTTCCTAGCTCGCGAAATACCTCTTCACTCAATTTTTCTATCAGCAGAAAAAAATTCATTTGAAATTGATGTTAATAGTGAGAAACAGAAGAAACAAATGCTTTTATGCCAACCTGATGCATCCGCTTGTCTCGAAAAATTCCAATAAGTTTCTCATTTAACTCGCTTAACGCCATTGTCTTAGACAATCCTCTCCGCTCTCTCTATTCTCTCAACTTCTCCTGCCTCCCGTTTACTTTGCCTCAAATGTAGCACGGCACGGATCCGCGCTCGTCTCTACTCGATTAGCGCCATCCAAAGGAAATGCCCTGAAGACCATTCTTTATAGAAGAATTTTCCAAGACTGCTGCTTAACCTTATGATCAATCTAAAACTGAACATGACACAAAACAGTTGATGAGAAAGAAAGCAGATACTAGTCTGAAGCGCTCTTGCTGGTTATATCACCTTGTAGTTGCCCGGCAGCATGATTGTTCCTGCCTTTTTGTTTTGAGAAGTACATGCTTCTCCCCGCGAGCTGCTGTCAGCGATTAGCTTGTGCAGTCCAGACTACAATTTCTACTGAATTATTGCCCAACAGAGTAACGAACGCGAAAAGATTTTGCGACTTGTCATACTCAGACAAAGTTAACTTATTGTGAAAACCTTGTAATCGTTTGAAAGCTCTTTTGACAAACTATTCTTCGGAATTTTTCTCTTCAGATTGTGCAGTAACGTTTCTCACATTTTTTGTATTGATTTTTCGTGGTTATTTTGTGTATTGTTTGACCATGCATGTGCTTCTAAGAGATCCCAAACTGCTCTGATAAAATTTTCACTTCATTTTCTCAAAGATCTATTAAAAAATTAAGCTTTCAAATTGGAAAATCATAAGGGGGAAAAGTCTTCTGTTCAATAGCTATTAGGTCAGTGCAAAAGTTTTGCCTGCTTGTTAACACACCCGCGAGTCTTGCAGAGTAAAAATAAACAAATAGTTTTAACAGTAAAATGTACACTCCTTTCCCTTTGAAGTATATAGCTTTGTTCCCGGTGCGGGTCTCCTAGCGAGCTCTGAAATGATCGCCAAAACCTGCGACTCTTCATATTTTCCATATCTGAATTTAACTAATTTTCATAACTTTATTTGAGTCGTTAAGGAAGCTTTGATAGCCAGCAGATAGTGCAAAGTTTCCGCAAACTAATGCGATTTTCTCTTAATCATCTGGATTCAAATTTGGAACTTCTAAAATGAATTTTCAAAGTGAGCAAGTTACTCGGTCTTGCAATCTCATAAAATGAGAATTGGTTAACCATTCATGCACCATTCAATGCCTCTTTTTCTCCTCTCCTAAGAGCATCATTTTCGTAATTTATAGGTCAAGTAACCTCTGTAGGCCAAGTTTTGAATTCTGAGGTTTCCAAATATGGGCCACCCAAGCGAGATGGTCACTTTCGAATGTCAACTTTGTTTCAAAAGAGAGTTGACTACTCCTTTTTGCACTTGATACATGGATGGATGAATTGACGGTGGACAGATGGATGCTGTATCACACACCGCTCGAAAGTGGCCGAGGTTTGGTGAAGCCCTTTATTGATGCGGCCTTACGTTTCGACTTATCGTTGTCTTTAAAGGCCAGCGCCGCTTCACCAACGGTGCACTGGTGGTACTGTGGAACCCGTTTTGACGTGTCAGTAGTGCCAAATACATCAGATATAGTTACCATTCGATAGAGCAAAGCAAGCTCTACAAGATGATATGCAAAAGTTCGCACCACTTCGACCCACCGTAAGTTTGCACCCAAAATCTGAGTCGTACTAAAATTTGAAAAATCGCGAAAAATTCATATTCTTTGTTCAAACAAATCCTACGGATCTCCATATTGCTCATACAGATTACACACCACATCAGAAACCCATTTGTATCATTGCCGCATTTTTTCCTTACTTAGAAATTGACAAAACGTAAATTTTCTTGTTTATACAAAAACGAAGCGACGTTGTTTATGTAGTTGTATAGTACAAGCCCTTGGAAGTATAACCTAGAAAAGACCAATCAAGCTCAAATCGCTTCTGTAAAAATCACGAGATTTATTTGTATTCTTCCCGCCTTCCGTTGCGGTTCGCATGGTAGCGCAGACTTAGCGTATTACCGTAACCCAATATTTTCGCAGCATTTTCTATTTGCATAGGTAACGGAGGATGGCTATATCTTTCCCTAGGAGGAACTATTAATGAAATTCCTACTACCCTATTTTCAGGTGTATAAACCGCACTTTTTCAAATTTTCCCACGAGCTGCTCAGCCGCTTCATTGTGTTTTTTCAGGCAATACGCGGCACGGTGTAGGGTCATTTAGGGTCATTTAATTGCGAGGTCCTTTGATGTGTTAGGGCTGGTCGATGTAAGCTAGGACCACCCCGCGGCTTATACACCTGAAAATAGGGTATGTAGAAAAAAAGGGTTAACAGTGGCAACGATTTCAAAACACACAGATATTTGTATGCTTTAAAGGTAAGTTAATGAGGTGTGGCACAACCCCTAAAAAGGTATGGCAGCCACAGCTTTTTAAGGGTTGTGCACACCCCATTACTCACCTCCGAAGAAGACTTTATATAACAATATATATATATATACGTTACAATAACTAATCTCGTAGTTTCTATAGAAGTGATTAGAGCTTAATTCGTCTTCTTTCCTCTGAGAAATATATGCTAGAAGCACAACCATTGTAAGCGAAAATTGGGACAAATGGGATTTTTGTTGGCTCCTAATTTCACAGTTTGTTATATTAAGCAGGGTTCATAGATGGACAACTAGGAGCAATCCTTTGTTTTGAGTACAGAAGGAGGCAGCTGATTCACTTTTGAAATACAGGGTGTCCCAAAAAAATGTTTAGAACGTTTGATCGTTAATATCTCTCTTCCCAAGAAGTCTTTTGCCTTGCTTCAGGTACCGTTTTGTAGAGCTGACTTCAGCTTGGATTTACAGTATGGAGCGAATCACCGATCGCTCTTCATTACTGTAGGATTACGGTAGAAACTTGAAACATATGGTGTCAATGTGGAAAAAGCTGCTTTCAAAATTTTTCAAAAAATTGTGAAAACTTGTGTAATAGGGTTTTTATAGACGCTGAGTTCAATACTCAACTATTCACAAAATTACGAAGCTTTCTAAACGGTGTAATCGCACTTTTTAGGAACATTGAAAAAAAGGCCGCTACCTCTCACCTGGCATAACTCTTCAATGAAGCATTATAATAAGTTGAGTACTTTACAGTTATAATCAGCAATTCTAATTAGCCTGGTGTAAAAGTTTTCAGGCTGTTTTGTTTCCTTTCTGAGGCAAAATATGGCCTTTCATGGTTCAAAACCCTCTTTGAAGTTTCTACCGTAACCCTACACTAATGAAGAGAGATGGATGATTCGTTCTATAAGGGAAGTCTAAGTTGAAGCCAGCTCTACAAAATGATACCTGAAGCAAGGCAAAAGACTTCTTGGGAAGAGAGATATTAACGATCAAACGTTCTAAATATTTTTTTGGGACACCCTGTATAGTTAACCATGTCTTAAAATGACCAATTATTCGGGAGGTCCGATATTGGGAATTCGCTGAAACGTGGCCCGCAGGGGTTATTTGAGATAACTATTACAAGCATACTACTTCTATGTTGGTAGAACCTTTATATTATAACTACAGTGGTCGTGTGGTGTGGTTAGCGTCTCGTACTCACAGGTGACCGGTGAGGGTTCGAATCCTGTTGCTGTCCACATGCTTTGCGTTCTTCTCAAAGTTCATTTTTTACCTGTTTTATGTATTATTGAGGAAAAGAATGACACACACGGGTCAAGGGATGATTTTTCTCATGATCTCACGAAAATTCGATCAATGCTTCATTGTAAAATTTTCTTAGAACATAGCAACGACTTTTTAGCGACGGCTTTTCATTTGGCTTTGAAGATTTGCCAAATCCTCACTTCCACATGCTATCTTCGATTGCACGTAGTTTTTACGTGACAATCTCCAAGTTGTATCAAGTCGTACTATTGATTCTTACAAAAGGGCTACCTTGTGAGAATGACACGGCAGGATGTATAATTAGTGGAGTTTTTCCACCCGTATGTGTCATTTTTTACCTCAGTAATGCATAAAACAGGTAAGAAATGAATTTTGAGAAGAACGCAAAACACGTGGACAGCAGTAGGATTCGAACCCTCACCGGTCGCCTGTGAGTGCGAGACGCTAACCACTGCACCACATGAGACCACAATCGGAGCATTTGTGCGTTCTCTAGACATGCACACGCCAAAAACTTCAGAGGGCCATAACTTGCTTCACAATAACGCGTCGCAGCTAATGGCGCACATTTGATCCCAATCTGGCTGAAATTTTCATATAGGGAGTCAGTATAGCAAGGTTTTAAGCCGCGTCTGCGGCTAGCTTGTCTACTTCTCTTCAATGTCTTCGCTCTTTCCAACAGCGCGCATATGCAGCGCAAAACCTTGGCGCTGCGAGCGCGTAATTTTGGGCCAACGGTTCGGCCTGATGCCGGTTAGGAGAGACTGTATGGATTCCTCGGCAGTAAATAGAGTAGGAAAGTGATCAGGTAGTCGGTTCGAGGTTCTGAATAGCTTTCGACAGCTCTCATTATGTACAAGTGGTTATAACTGATAGGGCAAATTTGAGTTGATTCACTAATATTATAGATCGAACATGTTATAGACGCATGAGTGCGTGAGTGAGTGAGTGCAATCGTCAGTAGATTCAAATGCTTCAATTGATTTCATAAATGACAGAAAGTACAAAAAATATCTATTTGAGACCTTTGAAGGCCTATGGCAAACTCTAATTTGTAAGCTTAAAAATAAATCTAATTGATCTTTGTATCTCCTTACAGGACTAATATCTCCCACAGGACTAAAGCCATTAGTATTCTTATAGATAAAACAACGAATGAGTAATTCCAAAAATAAGTAAAATAAAATTAAAAAATTTTAAAATAATCTGATGCACCCACTTTTGGTTTACAAGTCGGCATTGACCGATGAATTGCAGCAGTTCCGGTAATGTAGCCATGGAATGAGTACGGAGGTGATGAATGAAACAAGACCGGGCAAAACAACGTCTCCGGGTTTTGATTTGAAATATAGCTGCCATCTCACCTCGGCATCCCATCAAAGACCAAAGGCAACTTCTCCTGCAAAAGAAAACTACTTTCCGCTACGAAATTGACATCTTTAGACACCACAGCAAAAAAAGAAGAACTCTAAAAAATGTGCTTTAGTCTAGTTAAGGCCAAACCACGGACAGTTTTTCTTTATTCAATAAAACGTCGCAACTGTTTTATTAGCATTAAACAAAACAGACCTAAAAGGAACAACAAGTGAGATCGAAGTTGAAGATTAATCAAGGAGATTAAAAACACTGGAGAAGAGGCCATTACCGGCTGTGAGGCAGGAGCCACTGTCCGCGTCAACGCGCTACTGTCGCGTCATAGCAAGAGTGATCTCTTGATTGGTACGTCATCCGCCGATTAGAACAGCATGAGAAAACAACACTTTTGCAGAAACTTTAAGGCGAGAACAACACAACATAAAACAAAGACGACAAGGAAAGAAATTTGATAAGTACATGCTTCAATGACGATTAAGTGCGTTGCTCTCAACCTTAATTCTCAGGAAGTTCCCCTTTCACGATTCCATACTACAGAACTAATTTAAGCTGTCATGGAGTTGGCAAATTAGTTCATCCACAGAAACTTCCCTTGAATTGTCTGCGCACAAAGACTGCATTAAAGCAGTGTCCGGGCAAGGTTGAAGGTTGTGGGACTTCAATGCCATGACTTCAGTGGAAACGCAACTTTTCGGACTCGCTTTCTCATAAGTGCAAAGATTTGATTTCTAAAGGTACCTACCCGTACACCCCAACTTCCCCCCCCCCCCTCCTCCTCCTCTTCCCCACTTCACATCATCCCTCTCCCACCACCAAAGCTTTTGGTTAGCCTGCTTTAACAAATGTCAGTTCACCACCTAGGCTACCAATGGACTGAAATTATACGTTAGAGGAAGAGATTTGCTTACTGGGGAACTAGTGCAAATAATGCTCGATTGCTCAAAAATCTCTTTGTAAAAATTTGCGTAGATTGCAAATGAAAAAAGCACACGAAGATTTGTATTTGTCATATCAATCCAATTCTATTGTAAACAAGACTTCTGTCTGTTCATGGCACAAATGCGAAATCCCGCGCTGGTTGGCAAGCCCAGGAGACGGTTGCCGTATATAAGAAAAATTCTCAAAGGGTACTTTACTTCAATCGTTATAACAAATTATTTTTACATATTTTCTAATGACAAATAAGAGATTCTTCTGCGAACGAGAGTTTGGCATAATCTCAGTGATGTTTTAGCGAAAGACATTGGACGCTTCAGATTATTACGATAGTCTTGAGTTCGATCCCCTTCTCCAGCACCAATCTGTGCAGGGTGAAAGTATGCCATTTTTGGAGCGTAAAGAATGACTTCTGACCGAAAGAATTGTTTCCTGCTTCGTCCACATTTTTCTGCGAGCAAATCCATTTTAGCGCCGAACGATGTAAAAACTTGCGTGAGCACGGTACTATGAAAATTTGTAACTAAAGTCAGGGAGAGGCTGAGAGGCTGCAATGAGCAGGATGTGTAGTAGAGTGCCCAGACAATTCTCATGTTGCAGCCGTTCAAGAGCTGTGAGCTTGAGAAAAATTGATGCGACTTTAGTAAATTTGATTTCGGTCCTAAAAACCAAAACATCGGAATATAAGCTTGAAATCATGTACCTCAATGGAGAAGCAGCAACGAAACAGCTCAAAGTTCTAAGAATAGAAAGTAAGGGGATGGCCGTGATACATCGAGATTGTAGCGAACAAGCTTTCATACCTCGAAGAAATTCAGATGCGCCTTAGACGCAACCCCTTTTCATTTTTTGTTGCCATACATAGACCAGATTTTGCACAGTTATAGTGAGGCATCCTCAAGTACAGTTTGATAGTATGAGCCTGTCATTCAAAAAAATATAAAGTACATTTCACTGATGGCCATTTTTGATAGAAATATGCGCTTGTAAAGTGTGTGATGCTTCAGTGAGGTTTCGGGAGCAGGACTCTAGGGCAATCGGTCAACATCATCTTTATCACACGCCATTAATATTTTGAGCTTCTGAAATGTTTTTTTTTCAATCATACCTTCCTCAAACTTTCGTGACAAATCTAAAAAATCATTTTTCTCATCCCTTCGCTATATAACCGAAGACGAGAGTTCAAAGCCCGAGTGAAAAGTAGACTAAGTCGTAATCTTGCTAGTAGTGTGCCGGACAAGCCCAGGGAGCAAGAAAAATACAGAATGGGTTTTTGCTGGGGACTGCCTTTATCCACCTTTACTCCATTAGCTCTTCTTCCATTTAAATCATTTCTCTATCTATCTTCATTTGTTCTCAACGGTTCACTACAGTGCCCTGATGACTTCTGTAAAGAATCGCGGTCAGTGGCTAGATTCCGGATAATCTAGGTCGTCTTCCTCAAAAGGGTCCGTCCCTTCTTTTCAAATTCTTACAATTAGGATATTGTGAGAATACAGTCGCACTTGTTCCTGCCGTTGATGCTCCTCTTTACTGCTTGTGGATGACCAACCAGTTCATTATCTTTACAACCGCCTGGTTTCACCTTTCTTCTATCAGGCGGTTTAGGAGAGGGCTAGGGCGTTAGAAGGTATGTACTCCAGGTGTCCTCACTGATGGTTTCGCTGCATCATCTGCTCTTAAACTACCCGTGCAGCTGCAATACGTTGACCAGCCACGATTCTCTCTGTTGGGTCTTATTATTGGTTCTGTCCTTGGTCGTTGGAATGTTTTAGTGCTAGAAGCTAGGCGATTGTGCCTGGGAAGGTTGAAAGGAATTTTCTACCATATTACACACTAGCTGGCTTTCCCGGAGCAGATCAAGCCATTGTTCACTAGGAAGAAGTGGATGCTGTCTTAATCCCAGCATAGTACTGCAGCGAGACCCCTTCCCTTTCCATATTATGTATGACTTACCTTAGGCATCTTTTACTTCACCGCATTCTCGGTTTTTGAGAACAAAATGAGTTTTACCTTCCCCGTTTACATGACTATGGGGGAAATTCTTAATTGGAACGTGATAACCATTTTTACAGAAAACTTAAACAAATTTATAAGTTGATAGAAGGATAGAGTGAAATGCCGCGAAAAATAGCCCATGACCTCCGATGGGGTGAGAAAACATAAGAGTGCAAAGTTTCAGCTCAATTGGCCCACTCAGTTTTGTAAAAAACATACTTGTTAGCAGGCAAACACACTTTGAGTTTTGGTGCCTATAGGGCTACTTCGTAGCTTCTAGATCACTGCTGTGTAAAGTCCACCAGTCAATTTCTCTGAGCACATACTCGACAATTGCATCGGGAATTTTGCGGATGCTTGCCTCACCACCAATCATCCAAGCCGCGAGCTGCTCGCCAGACCTATGTTAGGCGCGGTAAACGACTGCCGGCGGATCTGTAAGTGCCCGTTTGGTGCCTATTGTTGACCCGATTAGCATGCTTGTAAGGCTTAGAAAGAGTGGATAAACTTTATAGCCTACCTTTCACGATGACGACTTCCATGCAGTTGGAGCCACTTGTTTGCTCATCTGCCGACATGTTCTGATGACCTCGATAATACAAGTCCGACTGCTGAATCTTAATTTGTAAGCATGGAAATTCAACTCTGTCAGATAGAATCAAATCCGAGAAACACACAAACGCATAAAAACTTAGGGTAGCCCCACCGATGTGGCGTACCTCACCATTCTTTATGGAAAACGGTCTTTGTACTTGAAGCGAAAAAAACGAGAAACTCAAGCACTGATACACCAAGTCTTTGCCAAAAATTTCAGCTAATCTGCAAGTAATTCCGAATCTTGGCTTTTACGAGCAGCACTTCCCGATGCCTTCGCTTACCGATAAATTGCGGGAATTCAAAGCGCTTCACTGTAGTGAAGCGCTGAAGCGATGAAAAGAGCCTTAGGCTCACACTGAAAGGTTTACCTGATTGACAAAGATGAGATGAGATGTAACAATTAGGGCTGGTTAGATAATTACTTGATTAAGGAAGGGTCAGTCGTTTTGCGCGAAAATACGGACGAAAATGGACTGTCTGAATGCAAAACAGCGAATTGTACGCAAAGTTTACGGTAATCACGCTCTTGCTGAAATCTTCGCTTATGCGCACGCAAAAACCTTGCTCTTCTTCTTCTTTTTACTATATTTGTTTTTATGAATAAACAGTACAAGACTGGCAGAAAATTACATCATGCGGCCGTATTTGTAAGTTTTGAGGAAGCGATGATGATGCGCTAATTGCGGAGTTTGATAATTCTCTTCATCTCAGTCAATATAAGCATTTTCCCCAGCAGAGTAATTTTGGCTTTGTCTTTGCTATTTCGGGTTGCGATTCTGTACATCTCTAGCTTGAAAAAATAAGGTTCCAGGCAGCCCTTTCCGTTTTTCATTGAGACCAATATCCTGAACATTTCTCCAGGACAGAACTTTCACGGTAACTTATGTAAAAGCTATTGATAATAGAAAAGACTATGCCCCGTCTGGAATTGCATCTTAATTTGATATGCAGAAGAACAGACTTGTTCGAAAGTTTTTGAGAAGAAAGTTTGAGAATTTTGTAAACAAGTCCATGACATCGTTTATCTTAAACTGAAGGTAACAGTCTTGACGGAAGCGACTGTTTTCTCAAAATGTCATCCTACACTTCACTACTATCTATATTTGAGCTTTGATGTTTATATTCGCTGTCAAACTTGCGTTTGCATAGTGTAATTGCACCGATTATTAAATATTTACACAATCCCATTAAGTTACAACATCTTAGTCGTTTGTCTGGCTTACATGTATTAGGTTGTAAAAAAGCTCTGCCAATCATCTATGATCATTAAAACTGAACGCGATGCAAGCGGCTTGTTTGGGATGTGTTCTTAGTGCGCTATGGAGCTAAATACTGATACGCAATTAGCTTGAAAAAAAAAACGATAAACTAGGAAAAAATGCCTGACTCAAAAGTCATTTCATACATTTCGTATTGATCAGATGACGCAACATGCAACGTTACTTGATTCGGTACATGGACCTTACAAGGAGTAGCTGGGAATAGCTCATTAGTTTCAGTGTTCGAAAAAGTGAACTCTCCACCTGTTTTGGAACGCAGCCAGCTCGCTTCTTGGAGAAGAAAATCTGTAACGTACCTAATCAGTAGTCTAAGGTTGTCAGTACATAGACCCAAACGTCGTTGAATGACAGCCACTTAAGATGAAGATATGGATAAAACAGATTAGCTCAAGCGGTAGAACTTTCCTTACAGCCTAATATATGTCACTCATTATAGACGTTTTGAACGCTTCGCTTAGTTTTGAATTCACCTCTTCCTCGATAGACGGGGAAATGCTTAGAAGTTTTTATCCTCATTTGACGAAAAGTTGCCTCTCTTTGCTCTCATAAAAACTATTTATTTTAGCCAGTGCTTCACAATGCGAAATGTGGATTGCTTTAACAGCTAGATACAGCGTTTTCGCTACATATGGGGTATAAATGTTAATATGTGCCAGCTTATTCAAACAGGCGATTTGATTAAAATATATGCTGTAGACTGTTCTCGCAATTTTAAGGCGCGAAACTAATTTCGTTTAATATTCCTTAGGGCTTTCGGGTGGATTTACTTCTGATTCAGTGCGTACGGTGAAATCTGTCACGAACGCAAAACTATGAACTAATTTCCAACAAAAATTATGACTGAAAGATGACAAGAAAATTGATTGAAATTCCGAATTGCATAACGAAAACGATTCTATTTGACACCTTGGCTAAGAGAGAGAAAATTTTATCGGTTTTCTATAAAGGGTACAACGATGCACAGTGATTGAATTTCAGTTACTCCTGACTTGTTTCCGTTCATATCGTTATGCAGCCTGTAGATCACATAGTATGTTCATTCAGGGTATAGTCCATTCCATCCGCCAACAATATTCCGGTAGATTTAGCGGTATATAGCGGTGTTATCTTCTGGCATAGCGAGTTTTTTGTAGAATGTTGGGCAAAGCTCAAAAACTAGCAGGATTAGAGATGGTGCTTGGTGGTCAACGTTCTAAGGGTAGCAGGGTACCACACCTGAGCCTTTAAGTAAATAAAAGACGTCGAAAATTAAAGCGATCAAAAATAGGGAGCAAATTGAAACTTTTTGTTCACTAAATTATTTTGAAACATTGCTAGCTTAGCCCCACATTTTACTTGATTGAATAGAAATAATTTTTCGCCTGCCTAGTTTAACAGCCTTTCAGCAATCTGATGAATTTAGAGCTCTATGAAAATCATGAAAAAAGCCATGGCTTTACAATGCTTTTGTCACGAATATTGCACGCAACGATGAAGCTTTACAATTGGTTTTATGGTTTGCAACGGCAAATAGTGATAAAGTAAGTCAATCAATAAAATTATTTTGGAACAAAGTGACTGTTCTCTACGGTATAACTAGGGAAACTCGCGTTGAGGCAACTTCAAGGTTCATTCATCCTTATGAAATATGGCTATTTAGGAACATGAACAAACAATTTTTTGTGCTGTATGCAGTAAATGTTATTTTGCATGAATAACGCTTGTTTTGGTAAAGCGCCAACGTTTCATTACACTCTTTTTATCTATTAACCATTCTGAGTCATGCATTTCATTAGGGTGTCTCATAGTTTTTTTCCTAGGTTAAAAATTGCATTCTTTCTGTTTCTTTCCTCCATTGAATGCAGATTGAGTCAAAATACGGCAGAGCAAAGAAAGGTCTACAAGATGATCACCAGGTACCCGCCTAAATCATATTCCAAGCAAAGTTTGTGACCAAATTTCGATAGTACTCAAGAATGGGTTTACCTCAAACAATCTAACTCCATTCCAAAGCCTCCTACAAAACCTCAATTCACCTGAACAAAACTCAATATACAATCTATAATACAATTCCCGTATTTTTCCTTCTCTAAAAATAAAGGAAAAATTGATGTTCAACATAGCAATAGATAGTAAACAATGAACGGTTACTATTGAGTCTGTATCGGCCCTACCTCTATAACGAATACAACAAGCAGCAACCACTCCCGAGGCTCTTCAGTAGGGAAGAGTGGCTAATTAATAATAGTGGTCTAGTGCTGGAAATTTGAACCGGTTGGATAGGGCAAAAGATCAGAAGGATTGGCAATGATCTAGTCTATCAATTGTGAATTTGACGAAATGTTTAGCACTTTTGAAAGACTGAAGTTCTATTTATATTAGTTATAGTTATATAGTTATATTTATTGAAATACATTTGTTAAATGTGAAACATTTGATAAAAGCATTAGTAATTACATTTGATGTATAGTCTAAATCCTTGAGTTGTTTAGAAGCATTGATAGTCTATGTGGAAAATTTTCGGATTTAGTATAGTTCTATAAATTTTCAGAATTTTACTATATACAGTGGACGTTTTTACAATAACACTTACATGTGCAGACGCGTGTCTGAATATATTGACTTTAAACGTAAGGTAATCTGTTTTGTTATATTGATGCGTGATAATTTTATTATTTTTGATTTTTATTTTTAAATCAAGGAAGTTACATTCTAATCCGCTGTGGTGCGTATTTTTCAACTCTAATATATTACTGTAGGTGTCGCTCAACCACTTATTTATACTTTTCTCTTCTAAGTTATGCAAAATTGATAAATCATCCATATACATATCTGAAAGGTTTGAACAGAATTTTTTTTTTGGTCTGATCAATGGCGAATTTATATTCAAGGTAAGATAACGTCAAATCTGCAAGGGTAGGGCTTACCTCCTTGTAAAACTCCTACTTTTTGTATGAATATGTGAATTACAATCTTACAATAGCTATTTTCTAACAGATGTTGAACAAGGTACAAAATGTCTTCAATTTAGCAAATCCTTTGTTTTGGATTTTTTGTAGAGGTTACAGTAACTAAGTTTGTCATTCTTGCAAACAACATATTTGCTATTACTATTTTTGAAACATATTTTAAGAATCTCTTTGAGGTTTTCCGACAATGATTTTATGAGAAATGTTTGTAAACATGTTAGTGAACTATGCAGAAAACAGTTTAAGGTTACCCGCATTAATGTAAATTTGTGGGAAATATTAATGTCAGTTATAGACCAAAAAGTGTCCAAACGATTTTTATTGATGTCTACAATTTTAGTATAGTTTTTAGAATGATTTCGAAAAAAGTTGAAAATATGCGTTAGTTCTTCTGATAATGATTAATGCAGGTGTTCGAAACCCCTGTGATACATATAAATTTGAGCAGGTTTTTGTGTAATTTGGGTATGCAGTAAAAATTTGGAATACTACAGACCTCATTAAATTTGAGATCATGTTTTTCAAAAAATTGCAGACGTTTAGTGATGATGGCCCGAATGTTTAATATTCCAAGATAATCACAGATAGGAGAAAAAGATGACATGTTGAGCAATCCCATTTCTGCCATTAATATTTCAAGATAAAGTTTGTTTTTGCAAATGATACCATAATTCGAGCTAGCTTTGTCCAGAGGGCAAAATAGAACTTCTGATAGTGTTTGATATTTGACATAAGAAGGATCTATATTATTATCAATATTATAAATTAATCAAATTCGCCCCTAGAGTCCTGAGTTCCTCACACGCACGTGTATATACTCTATGCATTGGGAATTATGGCCATGTATTTGTACCGTTGTAGGTGCTCTCGCTGTAAATATATTGATTTTAATGTTAGAATGGGAAAAAATCGTGGGACAGCCTAGTATGAGATTCTAGGACTGGTACTTGGCTAAATATATTCTATTCTATAATACACTCAAGGAGCACCAGAGGAAAGAAGTTCACAGAAAGTTCAAACAACGCAACAACGCATGAAATCAGCCTCCTCAGCGTCAGGACGAACAAATCAAGGATGGATAATAACACATAGACATATATAGAGCAAACAACTTTTTTCAAAGATTGTGATATTGTTCCTTCGATTGAGGTTGAGGTACGGCTTAATGCCGCGTTTTGAAGGAACAAATATATTGGATTTTAATGACACTTTATGACTTAGTATTTTCTCTCGATTTTCTATTGAAGAGTGGTACGAAATTTTCATTTCTATTTCTATCGCTAGTTTTCTCTTATCATTAAGTTTGGGTCATGATAAAGAAAAAAAGAAAGAAAAAAGAAAAGAAAGAACTTAGGGCTTATAAACAAAAGATAGTGGACGTCTTAGGTTGACTTGGTACTTTAAAAGGAAGCAAAAAATTTTGTCAGCTGTGGTACCTACTAATGAAGAGAGGAAAGAAATAGTGAAGAGAGGAAAACAATAGTGAACTTCTTAGGCTGATTTGATACTCATAAAAGGAAGAAAAAGAATTTGATCAGTTATGGTGCGTACTAATGAAGAGTCATCGCTTCACGATGATGTTGTAATCCTTATCCTTGGCATATTTCTTATCATTTGAGAGGACGTTGTCCCTGAGCCCATAAAACCTTTACGTAGGAGTGTTAAATAACTAGGTATACGCAGCATAACAATATGACAAGTGTCACCAGATAAAGCGTCATTGATGTACTCTCTTTTTGTTTTCGTTTTCGCTATATTACTGTTTTCGTGTTATCTTGGAATGAAAAAACGGGTAACTGGCATTTTTAGAATACCGTATAAGTTTCACAAGTGCAACTGAGGAGGCTGGAAACTTCCGGTTTGGTATTGGAATTTTTCTGAAAACTTTCAAACCGCACGCCTGCTTTATAAATCTCGGGAAGTCAAAGCAGTTTTTAAGCCTTCTTTTCACACTTCCAATTTCGGAAGACAATCTGTAATTGTAAAAAGCTGAAAAAGTTACGATTGTTTACGCCCCGGTCATTAGGTTGAAGGCCATCTAGAGTGAATAAGATGGTGTTTGGGCGTCACTTGTACGAGTTTTCAAAGACTCCCTCATTACTCATCAGATTCCAACTGTGCAGATCGAATCAAAGGAGTCATACCGGTTCTTCTTCAGTGTCGAGAACTCGTCCACTCTCACTGCCATGTTATGCCTTCCACAGAAAGCACCGATAGTATTGAAATGATAAGGTCAGCTAGATAAGAGGTGTTCACTTCGAAAACTGTCACAAACTCTTGTACTTTGCTGCAGTAAGAAATCTCCAGCAATTTTATTTGTGCAAGCCCTAATCAGTCAAAATTTGATTATTTTGAGATTTCTCAAGTACCAATACATAATACTTTCTAGTGTATTATCATCCAGCTTCCCATCTTCCCGTGCTTTATCGGTGATTTCTCTCTTTCTCGAGGTTTTTCCCATTTACTGTTTCACTTTAAACGATAGCGACTTCATTTTCTTATCATTTTCGTAGAAGTTATATTGATCTCGCAATAACTTTGAAAAACTCAAATTCTTTTTATGTCTCTCTAAGTTTTGTTTTCCAAGAAAAGAGCTCTTCTATACTTTTCAAGTTTATCAGAGGAAGTCACGTGTTTCGCAACAAGACTTGCAAACTTTTTGCTCGTTGAGGCCGACCACTCAGATCAAAATCAAAATCTAAACTTGAAAGCTACTAGGTCGCAAAAAAAAGTTTCCGGGCACTTGCGCAAAATTTTTTCAAATCGCTGTAATTTCAAGCAGATTGATTCTTTTTTGAAGCTACAAACTTCATTGCAAAGACAATATTGTCTACAACATATACAGGCCCCGTAAGGCTTAAGGCATACTCCCCGCGATTCCGTCAAATCGCTACATCGACGCGACTTGGCGTTTTGCCAGATGTCTACAGATTAACTGTGCGCCAGTGTCAAATGCATAGACGAGTAGCTTCCGTAAGTTCTCGCAAAAGTATCAAGTCTGGCCCAAGCAAAATGCGTTTACGAAAAATATGAAGAGTTGTTGCAGCGCCAGATCTCGCAGCGACCGGAATCGCGTGAGGTATGCCTTGGGCCTAAAATCCAATTGCCCACGCGTCGCTTTGAACACCACCGCGCGGCGCGGCTGAAAACGTTTGGTCCCGAGGCGCTACAGGCTTTTTGCAAGCGACATGAGCGCGCACCCTTTCTACACATATTTTTTAAAGTTTTGAAGGGAGCTTTCGACAAGATATACCTTGCGTTGACGAGAACAACATGAAAGTTAAAGAAACAATTCTTGGAATATAGGGAACGCCGATAGTCGTTCGCGACGACCGCTCGCTTACGCTGGTGTTCAAGGCACGGTGCGGGCAGCTAGGATCTACGGCGCCTATATTTGCCTTGCTGGCTTCTCAGCACCTCACTGCGGTCCACCAGCATGCGCAGAAGGGGAAAAGGTGTCGCGAAAGTGGCCTATGCACAGTTACCTCAGGCAGGATGAGAGCTGGAGAGCCCAGATGCTGTAGTTATATAGAGGTCTGCTGGGGCTGTTATGGGAACCATTTATGTTTTTGAAGGACCACCTGCAAAAAATCTTCTCCAGAAAGTTTGAAAAAACGACCATTTTTTGCTCCTAAAAATGCATCATTTTCTCGAGTAAGTAACTTGGCAGTCTTCTAGCTCTGCACAGAAAGGACCAAATATTTGATTACTGGGAACATTGTTGGGATGGTGCCTTGCACATTTTTGGACCCATTATCCAGCCGTGGCGATCCCCGCAGAAGCGAGGCCAGTTGCGAAAAGGGTTGCAGTCAGAGGCAAGTTTGACAGCTTGTAATTTCTGAGCGCAAGTCGCAAGACTCGAATGTAGCTGCGGGTCAGAAGTTAACAGGCTTCTCATTCAGATCGCCCATGATTTGGACAAAATCAATTGAATTGCACAAAAAAATGACCGCAGGAAGATAAATAGTGAAATTTTTGTGGTTGGAAAGATTTTTCTTCTTAACGGGCAGATCAAACACGTCTTGGCTTCGATAAAAGTCAGAAGACTTGTTGAAAACTTCAGGTTTCCCTCTACTGAACAGTATGAAGAACTTGGTGTCAAAGTCCGACCGAGCGCCGAAAAAATGCGTTTGAAAATGAAATTTCCAAAAGTGCCCGGAAACTTTCCTTACAACCTAATAATAACCAGGGCTCGGCACGAGGCGGCTAGTTGAAAATGCAAAAAACGGAGTCCCCCTTGACTTCGCCACAAAAGTACGACATCCCCCTTGACGCGCTAACAAACAAATCAAACATGAAAACAAAAAGAATGAAAAAGAATACAAGACCAACAATAAATAGGCAATAAGAACTAGTGATTGTTTGTATTCTCCGGGTTGGCGGCATACTGTGTCCGCCGCGCACCACCGCGAGCTTGGAGCAGCTTTGCCGCTGCCATCCAGATAATTTGGAGGGCTATAACTAGGCGGGGAGGAGATGGTTTGGGGAGGTACAAGAGCTGTTTTGTAGAATATTGAATGTAGATTACATTTATGTAAAAAATTTGAAAAAAATTATGTGAAGAATAGGAATTATATGACTTTGTTTGCGCTAAGCTTTCAAGCCACCTGGATAGCCACCTGAGGTGGCTATCCAGGTGGCTTGAAAGCCACCTAACTTCGAAAAAAGTTTGCCATGCCCTCAGTTCACATAATTTTTTCATAATTTTTCATACATAGTCCCAACTCCCCATTGCCCATCTACACACCTATTTTGGTGCCGTTTCATCTTCACTTCGCTGTAAACAAACCCTTTGTTTATTTGCTGGCGGCATGCCGGCAGCGTGCCGGCAGCAGGTCGAAAGACAACGTTATGCCCTTCCGCAAAAACGATATCCCCTTTGCTTTTCCCCCAAAAACGATATCCAGCTTGCTTTGCAAGCCACCTGTGCCGAGCCCTGATAATAACTGCCTTAGTCGATTTGAAAGCCCCACACTACTTCTTACTCTTTTTTCAATATCTGGTTGTCGCTCTACTATCGTGGCTCAAGGAAGTTCTCTGATGGTCAGCTCAGAGAAAAGAGAACGAAACCGTGTTGCGCTTGATGGAACTTTTTTATTGCAAATACATTTTTTATATATACTTCGATAAATTATATGGGCAAGTGGTCAAGTCCAGCACAGCTGACACCTACCTAGGAAGTTCCCAGCTAATTCAAAAAAAATAGCATGGCTATCCACTCAAGCGTCTATAGTTTTTGGCCATGGCTTGAGCTCTTTCGCACCTAAATACATACCAAATTTGCTGTCGTATCATTCCCACTGTGAGTGAGCCATTTTCATTTGCGCGATTTTGAATTCTCGCGCTGCTCGAGATCGTGCCAGGACATGTAAGTTATAGTCTTGTCTTGGCTTGTTCATACTGGTAAAGATTTCGGATAGATATTTCATAGAGTTCGATTGATGCATCGTCGAGTCATTCGTAACTCAATACTAGTGAACCAGTAATCTCAAAGGTGCTAGTTACACGCACACTCGCTTTGAGACCCGCTCGGTTTCCCGCTATCTGATGATTTTCGAGTGCACCTTACGATTCTTTACATATTAGACGTGAGCATGTACACAACGCGAGGAGACGGCATCTCTATTGGTAACTTTTTAGTAAAGCGTTTTGTAGCGTAACAAATTGTACTGGGTGAAATTAGGTCATACATATCCAGTCGAAGTAAAAGAGACATGGAAGCAAGGAGTAATCACTGAAAGCAAGTTTTGACCTTACAAGTTCGTCGAGTACGCGCATACTTGACAATATGCATATTAAGTTACAAATGACTCGAGGATATTCGCTGCTATTTCTTCGGGGCTCGTCTTCACAAAAACGTTATACCTTTACTTTTTCCTCCGAAAACGATATGCAGTAGCATCTGATGTTCTATGAATAAGTGCACAGTTTTTTGAAAGGTGCGACCAGAGGTGCGATAGTGGGAGCCAAGTCTCCCCCTACCTTCACTTTTGAGCTGGTACGGGGTGACCACTTTTTCGCTGGACGACAAAGAAGGAAAATAAGCAAAACAAACGCAAAAAAGATTATTGAAAGCATATATTTATGTATACGGCGGCATATATATTTAAAATGAAGGTTTTTAGTAAATGGTGTATTTGGAAGTAAAGCTTAGCAAAACTGTACGGATTTTATTAAGCAAATTATGTTATAACGTATAGCGAAGGAAGTAGGTCGATCCAGGCAGTAACGGCCGAGAACCAGAATTTTGAATATTTAAATAGTGAAAAATCATGCGAAATTTCCACTGTTATAAATCTGTTGTTTGAAGATGTCAGCAGTTGCGACTTCATAGGTTTTGAAGAGTAGATGTTGCTCTATCAGCTAGTGAAAGAATCGGGTCGATTTAAGAGAGAGTCGTTGAAAACCAGAATTCTAAAACTTTACGCCATTTTTGCGTGTTTTTTGACTGTTGAGAGTTAAACTCTTATAAATCTTGAATCTGGAAGTGTATGATGTTGCGACTTCATAGGTTTTATAGAGTAAGGTTTGCCTTATCAGAATATGTCTTGTCCGTTCCGATCCATTGAAACACCTCCGAGATCCAGGCTCTTGAAAAAGCAGGTAAAAAACAGCTTTTTGAACTTCAACAGCTCGTAACTTCTCCAGAACTGCATGAATCATGTTGCGACTTCATAGGTTGAATTCTTCTTATCAAGAGCTTTCAGATGATATATAATATGTGGGAGTTTCGCGCCTCTTACGGCATATGCCCGGGGGGGGGGGGAGACTTTTTAGGCCAAAGTCTCCCCGGCAGCCTCCAGCCAATACATTAAAATGGGCGAGGGGGAGACTTTGGCCTAAAAAGTCTCCCCCCCCCCCCGGTCATAATTCGCAGGAGGCTCTAAACCCCCACATATTATATATCATCTGAAAGCCCTTGATAAGAAGAATTCAACCTATGAAGTCGCAACATGATTCATGCAGTTCTGGAGAAGTTACGAGCTGTTGAAGTTCAAAAAGCTGTTTTTTACCTGCTTTTTCAAGAGCCTGGATCTCGGAGGTGTTTCAATGGATCGAAACGGACAAGACATATTCTGATAAGGCAAACCTTACTCTATAAAACTTATGAAGTCGCAACATCATACACTTCCAGATTCAAGATTTATAAGAGTTTAACTCTCAACAGTCAAAAAACACGCAAAAATGGCGTAAAGTTTTAGAATTCTGGTTTTCAACGACTATCTCTTAAA